GGCTGCCTTCAGAAACCTTTGCGGGTGGTCGAACTTACCCAGATACTACTGCGTCTCATATAGACCCCAAACAAATCAATCGTCGTGACGCGGGTCTTTTGACATGTTGCAGGTCTTACTTATGAGGCGCGTCACAGGTCTATCTCAGGCATGTGAGGTCCAATTTCGCGCCGGCGGTTCACCATCCCCCATGTATTTTGGTTCTAGCCCTTCAAGTATCATTCCCAAACTCAGTTGTCCGGACAAAGATTTGAAAGGTTCGCCTTTTGGGGCCAGGCATCGGCCAGAACTGTAAAACTGAAAGATCAGATCCGGTCGATTCGCTTTGGGCAGCTGAGCAACTTGAACCTATGTTGTCCTTCCTCTCCGAAGCAAAGGGAATCGGTTCGTGAACTGAGATTCCATGGAAGCCGGCAGGCTACGAGTCCAAACAGAGATCCCTTCACCTGAGCCAGTCCTGGTGCCCAAAATTCTTGAACCCCGAAGCCCACCCGGCCAAGCCAAATTTTGCCCCGGATCTTCTTGGTCCACAACTCCAACTCCCTGAGTCCCTTGCGATGCTTCCCTTCCCTTAAATGGGTGTACACCCCTCGCAGCGGGCTTTTTCGTTTCTTTAGTAGGCCAACGTCCCTTCACAGCAGCTCCAGAACCACGACCACCTGCGCAAGTTGACGCGGAACGCAGAAGGGGGGGGGGGGGGTTGGGACTCCCCTGCACGTCAAGAGAGGGACATCACCATGCAGCGGGATCCCAATGCAAGATTTGACACATACCCACATGGGTTGCAGCCCAAGTGGGTCAACGGAGGTTCCGCTTCCCCAAGTGAAGTTTTTCGGGGTTCCTTGGAAGTACGCCAAGGTAGGCCATCTAAATACCTTGAACATCAACACCACATTTTCAAGTTCTGTTAATACCACGGTCGATGTAGGCCCAAAAAAAACAAAAGAAACATGTCTCTCTTGGTGGTCCATATGTGCCCCGCAAGCACACTGCAAATTTCCGGGACCATGTCTACGTGATCGAACATTGGGAAGGACCCACATCTTCCTGGCTTTTTGTCGAGTGAACCCCTCCATCTGAGGACACCATCGATTTGGGAAACCGGCTTTTTGTCGAGTAAAACCAAAGTACACTATCCGTCTCCTTCCGGAGACATGTCTGCGAATCAAACTGGCAATGTGTGAAGAACCCAGACTCCAGACCGGGTCCCAGTTTCCATGGGGAAAGAATTGGCACTCTTTCGTTTGGTCGATACCGGGAGACACAAAGGCGAAAAGGGCTGGCACCCAGGGATTCGGTCTGGGAGAATGCAAGGCAGCAAGGCACGCCAACAGCCACCCCCCAAAAGGGCAATGCATGCCACTTGCAACGCAAAGATGGCGCAGGCCAAATGTAGAAACATGAGATGCTTTCACAAAGGAACTCCCAAGCTACTGGAAGGGTAGGATTTGTCGTCCAAGTCGGCTGGTCAAACATCCCAATGAATTTGATCAGTCACCTCTCTATCTCAATGAATCATTAAAGAACCAGACAAAAAGCAACTGCATATTGCACAGAACATCTGGAACTCTGTGGTATCCCTACCCAAACCTCCAGTAGCCCTGAGAATTCAGGGCAATCCTTTTGTTGGGTAGTTGAGGTGAAAGGGAACCCTGCTCCAAAAACATGGAAACAACGGGCACCTGAAAAACTCCAGAGCCCATGCAACGCACCTTCATCCAGTCGTTTTCTTCCAGCCAGCGGCTGTTGAGATCTCAAATTTGCCCCACCAAAATACCCCGGTTACGCATGACGTATAACAGTGTCCCCGTTACCCACGCAGAAAGAGGAAACAATCCTTGCATAGTGGGCTTAAATGGGGGCCCGAGATGTGGACCTGAACCCATGCGAGTGGTTTCCAACTCCATTCGGAGCTTTGCCGAGCCTGTTTGTGACCTCCATGTTACCTTGTGAATGGGCCAAACAAGCAGATTGATTGAACCAAATCGGGGTCCCATACTTCTCCTGATGGACGGAAGGAACCCAACTCCACGTCGATTGGGGAGTAAAGTGGACGCGTTCAAAAGGCCCCTGCAAACGCGTTGTGAACACAGACTCCGTGTGCCAAAAGAGGCACTTCTCAAAGCTTGAGTTCGAGCCTTTAGGTAAGTTCAACACCGGATCAACATCACTCCAGTTGTTTCCTGTTACATGCCTTTTGACCATCCTTCTTTTCAACAGGCCAGCTGTTTTCGCTGGTTTTCTGGCTTTGTGGCAAGGATCATCCCGAAGATTCTTGCCAAAGCGCCGGGTCACCAATTCCCCCCGAAGATTTCTGGCAGCCCCTAGAAATAGACAAGTTGTGGTCTTGACGCGAGCAGAATCTCAGAAGCAAGCTCCTAGAACTCCTCAAATCTCAATCAACGGCATCCAATCTGTGATTCAGCCAGCCAAAGCTAGCTGCATATGCTGGGACTTTCAATTTGGGCCCTTGAAGCAGTTCGGCTGGACCAAACGTGGCCTAATCCCAAAGCACACCCAAAAACATGGTTTCAGCGCTTCTAAACTTAGTCTACCACTGAGAATTAAATCGCTTGGGTATGCGTCCCGCACACTTGCGCCCTCCAAAAGATTGGCCAACCCCCCTCATTTGGGCGTTCTTTTTTTTTTTTTAAGGGGGCTCCCGTTAAAAATGGCCGGATTCCTTTTGGCTTCATTTTAACAACTGGCATAACCAAGGAAGCCCAAAGAAGCCACAACTGGGAGCCTCACTCAAATGGTCTTCCCAAAAAGTTTAAAGTTCATGAACTCAGGAAGCTCTCCTGTCAACTTCTATGATTGTTGGAGGGAGGGTAACTGGCCTAACCAACTCAAAGAAGAGAAACCCTTTTCAGGAGACCAAACGGTCCATCTCGACGCCTCGAGGTGCCTGGTCTGCGGGAATAGGTCGAAGGGAGTGGCCTGGCACTCGACGCCCCGATTTCCTCGTGGTTTTTTCCGATCCGTCTTCCTGGTTGTTTGAAGGGTTCCTTTGGTGACCCACAAAACCAGATAAATGGACCCACTGAAACAAAGAGATCTCGTTTTTCCTCTTTTGACCCAACCGGAGAAATGGGTCCCTGAACATGGACCTTAGTGATGGGCTCGTGTTCTTTAGGCGTCGGACACACCATGAAAATATGGTTTAGGCTTTCCGTTTGGTTTCCCTTTCACACCCCCCCCTCCCCCCCCAAAACAACAACAACCAAAAAGCAAAGGGACCACTCAAAAAGGAACCCCCACCCATCCATTCTGCAACCACCTTCTTTTGGGTCGGTGTAAAATAGGAAGCTATTTGTCCATGGCCGGGGGGGGGGGAAATCATGGCTAATCCCCTGAAGGGCTGCTTGAGGGCCTAGACGGCTTGGATGGAGACCTCAACACCCCAAGATCCCGCCGTTGCTAAGGGCTGGGCATAAAAGGCCCTGCCCTCCCTCCACCCTTCAGGCCCAAATCCTGGAGGTTGGTCAGAGCCCATGAGCCCACATTCATCTAGGCAAAAGAACGACTGCCCTTGGCTTCCCAAAAAAAAACACAGATTTCCCCCGTGGCTTTTTGGCCTCCTGTAAAAAATACCATGGCAGAGCAAGCTGACAGTTTTTTCTTGAAGCCTTCATGGAACCTTGTTTTTTCACTCTCGACTCCTCCTTTCAGGCCGGGACCCGAAATTTCCGGGGACCTTTGGAATCCCCCGGCTTGAAACCTGAAGGGTGACCCTCACTTCACATCCTTTGCTACTTGTATTCAAACTAAACAGGGACACGCAGGGTCCAAAAACGCCCAAAGCTTGCTTCGTTTCACACATTTGCCATGCCTTCCAGGCCAATACCTTTGGATAGTTGTTTTTGCAATACCCGGAAGAAACGGGACTCTGTGACCTGGCTTGAACAAACCCAGTGATCCGGTGACTAACAAGCTGGTCCGGTGTAGCAAGAAAGTCAACCCCATACTTTCAGCGGATGTCCAGGTCGTTTTTCTGGTTGGCCGCTTTCTAAGGGACTCCCGGGAAAACAACCGAAAAACGGCCAGAGACCCCGGCACCCAAGGTCTTGCACCAGAAACTGCCCCGACCAAATTATCTTCTTCGAGACGCTCACATCCTCGGCCCGCCCGCGCAAAAGCACCGCTTCTCGCAACCTCCTCATGACCTCATTGCGGGACATTTAAGGAACACCACCGACTGCCGCGAACAAGGGAACCGTCCATTTGGGATGCCATTTGTCGCGGATGGCCCCCTAAGGTGCATTGGTAGCCGCGAAACCAGGGCGCATGGAAGATCTAACAGTTGCAGCCCGGTACCCCGACCCGTTTGCCATTCGGCTCTTGGCTTGGGACCCATCCTTTTTCTCTCGAGGGCGAAGCGACGCTTCCCGCGTTCTGAGACTCGAGCTGAGAACCGCGCTGCGGTTTCTTTCCGTGGCTTTGTGACCCGATCTTTGTAGATCACTGGACTTCCACGGGGGAAAAAGCCCGTTGGGTACCGTCGATTGAGGGAAACTCACCTCAGATCCCCTGCTAGAAGTGAATAACGTTCAGTGGGTTCAGTGGAAACCCCCACGAAACCGGGACAAACCTAACACGTAACCACCAAGTAAAGAAGGGAAGGATCTGAACTCTTTATAGGAAATCACTCTTTGATTTATCCTGGTTGGATGTATTCCACAGAAAACTCACCTTGGCTGGTTGCCATGAACAGCTGCCTGCACAAAAACGCTCCAAGAATAAGTCCAACCTAAGAAACTCAGCAAAAGGCTCTGGAGCAATTCCAAAGATTCATCCCCCCAGTCTTGCCGTAGGGTGTTCACTTTTTGCCCTTCCTAGGGGTACATGGAAGATCAGTTTCCTCTCAAAGGAACCCTGGGCGGGATGTTTGGTATCCGTTCACGGCAGCAGCGCAAGCAGCGCAAGCCACGTGGCACCTGGCCAGCCCAGCCCTGGCCGCTGGGCGCCGGCGCTGGAGTTCAGCAGGCGCTGCTTCAAACTCACCTGAGTTTAGATGAAGTTGAAACCACCGCGCTTGGAACAAGGTGCGCCTTGATACGAACTTTCTTCCAAGAGGGCTCGAACTTTTCGGGACAATGGTTGTCCCAATCGGTGCTGGTTGTGTGCTGGCGGGGTGCCGACGGTGTTCCGGTGGGTGGCGTTTGGGAAAACATGGCTAAGCTGGTTCTAACCAATTGCAATCCTCTTGGATGCTACCCACAAGATCCGCAAAAAGGGCTTAAGACCATCCTAGGTCCTCCCCAAGAAAGGGTAAAAGGGCACTACTGGGGGACCTAGCAACCCACTTGGGCGACCTCCGAATTCGAGCTCCGAGATGCTTTCGCTTTCCGCGTCTGGCAGGTGCCATCCCAGGCCCTCCTCAGCGCGGGGCAACCCTGGAGGAACATTGGGGGTTGTTCTCCAAAGCGATTCGCATCCCACCGGGCACCCCGTGAAAAGAAACAAAAAACAACGCATCCCACCAGGGCATTCCCAAAAAATGAAAACATCCTTTGGGTCTTTGCGCTCGTAGAAACTTGTCCTATCTCAACTCTTCGGTTTGCCCCAAACTTCCAAACTTGGCTCCTGAACCATCAGCCAAGGAACCGCCTGGAACCGAATCTCCTGTAAGTTCCCTGCCCCCTTGTGTCTTAAGCTGGCGACCTTCGGGTTCGGAGCACCGAGCAAAACACCGAGCAAAACAGCCTGGAGATGGTCCGGTTGTCCCGGGTATCTTGACACTGACTGGTTTACAGGGAAGGAATTGGAGGCGAAGTATGGCGAAGTGACGTACGAAGCACAAATTTCGAACTAAGAACTTGTCTTTCGTCCATGCGAAGCCATCCGTCACAATGCTCTCCACCCCCTTCCACGTCCAGGGAGAGGTAGTCAATTGCGGATGGAGCATTGTAGGTATCCGTCCCGCAAAGACAGTGAACGTTTGTAATTCTGCGCAAAGGGCTTCTCTGTTTTCTGGTCAAAACCGACAGACAATGCCTCCTAGGTCCTCCAGTAGAGAGGTTAGAATAAGGGTACCCGGGTACCCTTTTTTTCCGTAGTCTATTTTAGTAGGGGAACCCTCCCCCCACAAAGGGGCTCCATCAAAGACTTTGAGATCCTCTCTGCGTCATTTGCAGCCAAAACCACAAAGTCGCCATTCTGTTTGCATGGCAGCAGAGTGGACACACGCCAGTCTTGATTGCTCTGGCTATACGTTTCACCTCTTGCTCTGAGGCAGCGGCCAAACAGAAGCAGATTACGGCAAGGGCAGCTGCACGGATCATGTTCAATAACAGGACGATATTTTGGGTTGCCAAACCAGCTTGAAGCTTAAAATGGCCGACGTAGAGGGATCAAAAAGCAACGTTGCCATGAATGCATGGCTGCCACAAGCCAGTTCTCTAATTGGTGGTTGGATTGGCCTCTAGTGGTGCCTGTCTTTTTGTTTGGTTTGAAACCTTTCCTGCAAAATAAATTGCCAAAGAAGGAGTGCCAATTCTTTTCTCAGATGCCCAGTGGCCAATGGAAACAACGGGTATCCTTTCTTTGGTTGGTCGACTTTCAAGGGGAACCTTCCCAAAAAAGGAGTGGCCACCAAAACTCGGCCTGGGGAATTGCCACTTGTGTTGCGACCGAGTCGTGGCGGTCTGCTGGGGGTCGACTCGCCCAGGCGCTGGCAGTCGGCCATGCAGTCCACTTTGCACTGCTCGCAGCTCTCCTGGCCGAGCTGAAGAAATCTGAGCCTCAGAGATGCCCCAATCAGGGGCCAAAAAGAACAACCGAAGGGATGGTAACAGCACACCAACAACGTGAGTTTTTGTCTTTCTGATGAGTTGTTGCATTGTTTCTTTGTTTCTTTATTTCTTTGTTTGTTTGTTTGTGTCTGTGTGTGTCTCTGTGTGTGTGTGAATGCGAATAGTTCTTCAGCATTTTGAAGGGAAGCCACAGGGACAAACACCAAGGAATCATTTTCTGACACATAGCCAAAAGGAAGCTGTATGATTTATGGTTGGCTTGAATTGCCCAGCCCCGCGCACTGAGCCCGGCTCCTCCCAGACCTGGACAGACGTCCAAAGGAAAAACTCGGCCCTAGGTGGTTGAAGGAGCCAACCCCATACAAAACAGACCTTGGTGACCGCCGACCCTTGGAGGTTGATGGATTTTGAAAGCCAACCCACACCAAAAGGATCCCAAAGGCAGCAGCTGACCGCGAGACATCGCGGAACCAAAGGAACCTTTCATGCAAGTTCCCAGCGGATTGTGAGACATCGTTTGCTCGGGCCACAATTGGGTGGCATGAAGCCGAGCAAGTTGTCATAACTTGTCCCAACCCCCAAGCAACCGCCCAGCATTTGTTTGCTTAGAAATTGATTCCACTGGTTTAGATTGGCTTTATGCCCCGTCTCCCCCCCTCCAAAAAAAACAAACAACACAAAGCAAAAGAAACAAACCCACAAAACAAAACATGTTTCCAAGCCATGGTCTTTGAACCTGCTTCTAGCGGAAGGCGAAAGGGATCGCGATGCCCGGTCACGGTTGTGTCTTCCACATCGACAGATGCCAGCCTTGGTTTCCTTTGCGTTTCCCAGCCCCAAAGCAACTTGACAAATGGGGCCCCTTCTCACTTTTTCAGTGGATGGCTCAAAGAGTTACCAGATCTTTGGTTTCCTTTTGTTTCCTTACCCTCCCCACAGCGCTAAGACAGCTTTCCCACTTCAGGACCTTCATGGAGCCTCGGTGCTCCAAGATCCTCACATGCCCGATCCCTCCATCTGCCGAAGTCCACTGGGAATAAATGATTGGAACTACAAGTATGTCCAGTGAAATCGATCCCTTTAACACCAGGAGAAAAAAACCATAAGACATATTTGACTGAGTGAATGGAAGGAGCCGCTGTTGTACGAGTTTAAGCCAAAGAGGAAGGGGATAGTCACAGCCAGCCGTGATCCACGAGGAAGCCAACAATAGCAAACCACAGGTTCCCAAATCCGGTCGATTCGCGTGAGCGAACCAAACGTTGGCCGCGATCTCGGCTCCTCCAACAGCCTTCCGCAATTCACGTGGTCCACGATGAGTGGCAGGTCCCCGCAGACCCCGTCCGCCCGATGTGTTTGGAAGTGAAGGCGGAAGGTCTCGGAATCCGACCGGAAACTCCACCCTGAAACGGCGATCTTGGCCCTGGTGTTGGGAAATGACCCTTCTTGGTCACTCTTAAAGGGGAATTCCCTTGGTATCACAGCAAGTGGCGCCAAAATCCAACTTTCCACGCCCATGCATTTTACTATCACCTTTTGGAACGGCCATGTTCGAAGCTCTGCGCACAGTAAGGGGCGCTTTGACCAAGGTCAACAGTGGCTTGCTCCCCTGGGGAACCTTTGGGGCCCCTGGCCCCCGCCCCCAAAAAACAAAAAACACTGAGCACACAAAACCAATTGACACGCGGTTGTACCAGCATTGGTCTATACGTATTGAACCATATATATATATATATATACACAGCGCGAACGGGAACGCAGGGATGTTTGACCCCGGCTTAATATACCCCAGTTTATTCATTCATATATGGGGGGGCCTCTGGTTGTAGTGGGGATTTATCGCTTTTGGAGGGGAACACCCCCATATTCATAAACTGGAATCTATTAATCCGGGGTCAATATTATCTGAGCCGGGCGCATGGATGAGCTTGTGCACGCTGCTGGTGCCGGAGCCGAAGTTGAAGCCAGGGATCACGGCCTCTTTCCACCGAAATAGACGGCGCCGACTTTTTCCGGTTGGATTCCCGAAGGAAAACAAACCCAGAGGGTCCAAGTTGGTCCAAGTAGCTTGTAAGGAGGTACTTAGACCCCTTTTTACCCCCCCAAAACCATCCTCAGGAGGTACCAAGGGACCCTCTGGGAACCAAGAAAGGGTACACAAGGTGGCTAGGCCCAAGGGTTTTTCCCATCTACACTCCGAAACCAGGGGTAGAAAGGGACGCAACCAAAATTGGAACCACCTGCAAATGGGGTCATCAGCTTCCCCTGGTTTGGTCAACCAAAAGGTGGTTTAGGCCCAAGGGGGTGACCAAAATCATCCAAATCAACAGTTCAGCTCCCAATCCAGACCACCAAGTCAGGATCTGAAAGTAAAAACTGGTTGACTCTGGTACCCAACTCTTGGCGGGCGGATTTACTCGGGAGATCCCATGCCCTGGGTGTTTTGGGGGTGACCATCGACGGGTCGATGTCCCTCACGTTTCTGGAGCTCATTGAAAGTGTTGGTTTCTTTTGAGCCGGAACCCTCATTTCGGGTTTTAAAGGAAACCAGCAACACAGCTGCCAAGTTGTCACCCAAAAGGGAACTCACCACTAAACGCCTCCCAAAAATCGCCCGAGCCGTCCGTTGGTTTTAAAGCACGCAGTTCCCCAAAGCTATGGCCCAGAACCGAGAGCCCCCCTTTAAACAAAATGTGGCAAAGGGACTCCTTTGCCACCCAGGCCTAGCTTCGTCCCACTTGTCTTTGGCTTTTGTGACCCTTTGCGCATCACTTGGGGCTTGCTCAACACTTTTGAGCTGGGCAGCTATTGAAAAACGTCAAAGCCCCTCCAAACCAATTTTTGACCCTCATGATAGTGGACATGTTTTTTCACACACACACACACACACAAAAAAAGGTGCCTATGTTAAACGGCCGTCCTCGTTTTCTGTTTTTTGGTCTGGGTGGCTCAGCTGACGCCTGGTGGGAGCACCCCACGAGGTACACGTCCGCGAAGAAGGATTCAAGGGAGTCCAGCACAAAGCCTAGGGACGATGCCAACAAATACGGTGGATCCCAAACGTTTTGCCCTTTTTTGTCAACCCTAAACCCACCCTAAAAATACCCTAGCCCCACCCCAAATCAAACCTAAACCTACACTAACCCCACCCCAAACCTACCCCAAACCTACCCTACACCCACCCTACACCTGCTACATTACCCCAAACCTAAACCCACCCTGAACCTACCCTAAACCCATCCTGAACCTCCAAATTTCCTTGTGAACGCAGAGTGGCAAGCCCTGGGTTACCTATATGGGTAATGGGTCTGGGTAGGACTGGAATCAGGGAGCAAAACCCCCCCTCCAAAGTTTTCCCCAACAATCGGCTCAGAACTGTTCTTTTGACACCACTGCCAAACAGACGGTCTTGCTGATTTGGATTGGTGGGATTTGGATTGGTGGAATTTGAGCCTGGTTCTAGTACAGGGTAAACGGGAAGCAACGCAATGAACCTGTTCTCCCAGCATTGCTTTTAGCACTCCAAGCGTTGTTTTCAACTTGGGTTGGGGTTTGCACTTCTTTAGGGTGACGATTGGTTTATGTTGGCTCGGTAGGAAAGGGTGGCTGCCTTTTGTGCTTTTGATTGAAAGTGGAACAGGCCCGAAATGACCTTAAGCCGTTTTGGGCGTGTTGGGGGGACTTCGACTTCGGGTGCCCGTTTTGAAGCTTTCTGCGCTGTAACCGTTGGATGCAGCCTGTCACAAAGTAGCGCAAACAGGAGCGCAAATACCGTATTTAAATGGGATTTTAAAAATTGGTCGGCCAGGGCCGACAGTTACCCCTGCAGGTACAGTAAGCGAGCTCAGAATCACCGTTCCCGCCCGCCCAGGTAGGTCAGATTGCGCCGACGAAGGTCCAACCTGTGTCATGTTGGTGGAATTTCGATGCCATGCTTTGCAACGGATGTTTTCTTTGCAAAATGAAGCCACTTCTAATCGCCTATGTGTGGTGTGGATTGCTGTTGGAGCTAGGAGGTAAAGACCGTCGCGAACCCCCTGTTTCCAAGCGACACATGTGCTGATATAGGCTGTCTTCCTTGGCGTGGAATGCGTCTGCATCATGCTAGAGCTGTCATCCTCAGCTACGAAAGACTGAAGAGTAGCGGTAACAGCAGGATAGCCTAGCAAGGCCCTGCAAGCCACCGACTGCATTTTGCATTTTCTTGTGAGCCTCGCCCAGCAGCGTGTGGCTCACCTTCGGGGGGGGCGCCCAGGATTTGTCGTTGGCAGGCATGGCTCGCTGTGCACCTTACCGTGGCTAGGTCAACCGAGCAGCTGGCTAACCGCATGCGGCGCCGGGAGGCGTGAAGGAAGTGGAGCTAGAGCTATCGAGCAGAGACGCGGCGTTGCAGTCCACATCTCTCTCCTTCCCGTCTCTTTGTCTGTCTCCCTCTGTCTCTTTGTGGTTCAGGTGCGAGAGACAACGGGGCAAGCCTGACTTTGACAGCGAGCGATTGCCTTGTTCCTTCCTCTCTGCTGCTCGAGGTGATGACGAACTCCTGCGCCTTGTGCCTCTTAGTGTTGATGAACATGTCTCTTGCCTCTGGCACCTGGCTTTTGATGAAGTGCGCGACGGAGAGGGGCAAGTCCATCACTGGCGGCGGCTGGCTACGCCAGACCAGAAAAGGAATTGTCAGCTTGTAGCTGTTCGGATGGCCCGTGCACGTCACGGCATCAAGCAGGAAAGTCTGCCACGTCCACTTGTACTCCGACGCATGGAGGCTGTCAATGCTGGGTGGCACTCTTTGCCTGATTTGGCCCTGCGATGACTGCTCTTGCTCAGCTGGGAGCGTTTGCAGCAGAACCGGACCCGAGTGAAGTACTCGCAGATGGGCACCCTCTGCGCCTGCCAGACTGTCGCGATAGTGATCAAGAAGCCGTGGAAACTTGCAGCAACGGAGACTGTTGAAAAAGAGCATGAGTGGGTGGCTGCATTGGCATCTTCGTCTGCTAGTTTGATGGAACCATTATGAACTATATAGAACCAGTAAAGCCTGCGAGCCGGGTGGTGGAAGTGTCCAAAGAGGTACATTGACTATAGACGATCCCACTTGGCCTCCTCAACGACACGGTGATGGCAATCTGCTCATCGACTTGCTACTCGGTCTGTCCTATCTGTCTGATGGGCTACCTTTCTGTCCAGCTGGCTATCCGTAAATCTGCGCTTCTAGGATGCTACCTGTTTATCCATCCATGTGTCTCGCTATCTACCAATATATATCGCTATCTGTCTTTTTGCTTTTTATCTATGTATCCATCTATGTGTATAGTTGAAAAACATCTGTCTACCTAACTACCTATCCATCGCGCTAACTATCTATCTATCTATCTATCTATCCATCCATCCATCCATCTATCTATCTATCTATCATCAGATGCATGTGGGATGCATGTGGCCTGCATGTGGGATGCATGTGGGATGCATGTGGGATGCATGTGGCCTGCGGGATGCATGTGGGATGCATGTGGCCTTGCAGAGCTCCTCGACTTTAGAAAAGAAACACGTCTTTTCCCCTGATTGAAGCCCCATGGGTTTGCGCCTTGACGCAGAAGCTCCAGGCTCGTGTCGGTGCAGCAATGTCTCGGCTGCCTGCTCGTGCAGCATGCAGTTCAACTCGTCCCAACTCAATTGCAGGCGCATGACCTTGGACAGCTTCTCGTGAAGGCCTTTCTTGTAAGCGTCCTCGTCTGGCGTGACTGCATTTGCCTCATTGCCCGGGTGGTTGACCACCTGGGCCTTATATTTGATACTACCTCCAGGGCCCATGAGGGTGGCCCGAGCCACTTTCAATCTCCGATTTAGACAGATGGGGTTGTAAAAAAACCCCGTGACAATTTAGCTGTCCCCCAAACGTGTTATCGTTTTTTTTACTCTTATCGTTTTGCAGGGGTTTGCAAAGTGCATGCTCAAATCAAAGGAAGGCTAGCACAGCGTGCAGTGACTGTAGCTCTGCCAAGAAGCTCAAGCAAGCAAGCGCGAGCAGCAAGCTAACTGGTTTAGTCAGACTCTGCGCTAGAGCTATCACTGTCAGAGCTGGAAGTACCACCCTCATCTTGAGGGGAGGCTTCCCCGCGCAACGCAAGGAGCTGCCGTTGCAGGCGAACCTTGTCGCGGGCTGCCCGGCGCGCCTTGCTCTGTACTCGTTCGTGAAAAGTTTTGACTGGCCGTAGACCATCGGGGGGCGGCCGCGCCTTCTGGCTTTCATGCTTGCGGCACAGCTGGGTGGTGTCTCCAGGGTTCGGCGGCTCAAGTTCCCAGGTCTTCTCTCCTTCCAGGTACGAGCGCTTCCACTCCAAGGGCTCTTCTCTGGTGTGCATCTGGATCTGATACGACATGGCTCCTTCAGCAGGTATTGCGATGTCCGAAAAGACCAAGTTGTGCACCACTGGTTTTTTCGCTCTGCTTGCAGGCTTCAAAGCCATCATGCAATATGTTCGTGTAATCTTGAAGGGTCACATGCGAATCCAATCCTCTGAGCCACACTTCTCCCTCATTAACTGCTGACACGTGGCAGGATGCACACATGGTGCGAAGCCCTCGGCCGAAACTCGTTGGTCAACATCTCGCTGTCCTTGGGCGAGATGCAGTCCCAATATGCGACTTACACAAATACACACACACAAGCATGCCAATGGTGGCACTGATGCTTCCCACCCTGCCGAGAGTCACACTGCGTTGTCCAAACGGCCCACTTTGCGCTCCATACGGCGGGCTTCATTTTGCCCGTACCTTGCAACCAGTATTCAAAATTGATGCCAATTTGGTGACAGTCCTCATTCTGTGCACCAGTGCTGCCAAATCACAGGCTTTGACGTGGCACACGGACGGCACGTCCAATGCCGGAGGCTGGCACACCGACATTACATCCACAGCCGGGGCCATGGCACCCAGCAGGCAAAACAGCACCTATAAGCCCAAAGCCACCTCCACAGCAACATCCGACAAGATGGAAAGGTGCACTTCAAACAACCCCATGAAAGCCCTGTTATCGTTTTTTTTACTCTTATCGTTTTGCGGGGTTTTTTAAGCAAGCGCCATTCAGGGGCACGTCCCTTCATAATTAAAAGGCGCGGGGTTATTTTACAATCCCAGATGCCTTACACCACCTCCCAGCCCCGAAGCCCTGGCCCGGCCCCCACATTTTTAAAAGTCGGCACCGTAGGCTTAGGGCAGGTTTAGGCTGATTTGTTTCGGGTGGGTCCAGGTTGGTATAGGGTTTGCTTATGTTTTGTGTACGGGTGGTTTAGGGTGGGGTTGATATGAGGTTGGTTTGGCTGGGTTTAGAGCTAGTTTAGGCTGGGTCTAGGGTTGGATTAGGGGTGGTTTGCTTACTTAGGGCTGGCTGGCTGGCTGGCTTAGGCGGGGTTAAGTTTTTTTGAGGGTTTCTGTTGGGCGGGTTCGGCTTTGGTTTGGTTTAGATGTTGCTCAGGTCGCTTTAGTGGTGGCTTAAAGCCGCCAACAGCCACGAAAATGTGCAACCAAGCCGCCGAAAAGGGGGTTGAGGGTGGGCTTTGGATTTCTGACCGACCCTGCCACAACCCGGCCCGCCAAACCTAGAAGACACAAAACAACAACTCTTGGCCCCAGGCCCCCAATCCAACACGATTGAAGATGCAACCATCCACTGGGCGCCCAAAGGCCCCTCCAGTGAAGACTGTTGTTGGTGGATTGAGATGTGAGCGCCAAATATCCGCCTGCCGTTCGAAGGCTTTGAAGTCATGGGTTTGACTAAACAAGTGGGAGCGAACACCTCGATGTTGTTGGCTTCCCAAACTCAGCCCCTCCTTCCCCCCCGCCTGCATCTGACTGCAGACGGAACCCCACCCTTCGCAGCTCAGCCAAGGTCTCCTCGGTGCAAATCTCCCAACTCTCCCGGCCGAATGTTTAAGCCAAGGGAAGCCACAGTGGGACGAATAGCGAGGCCATAACCCGATGGCTTTCCAGCTCTCAAACGTGCTCTGAACAGGAAATGGCTCCCGCAGTCGTACAAGGGGTTGAATAATAATTTCAAACATTCTCAAAGCGTTTTGAATGCAAGATTGGTTGACACACCGACGACGACCTCAGCTCTTGCCCAAGTCTGAAAAAGTTAACTCATTTCAAGCAACCAGCCCAGGTGTGTCTCCCAAACCAGCCTGAACCTCTGCGCCCCCAAAACGCTCTAAAAAAGCTATAACAAATTCTGGGAAAACCAACCACGCAAACAAACTTCTTTTCCAAGAAGAATGGCAGCCGCGCTTGCGCGGTGCTTGAGCCAAACAAAAACAGCCGCTCAGGTTCGATTCCGGAACAAGTTATGACCCGAATCGAACCGAGCCTTGGTGTAGCAACCGCCAAGTTCGAAGGTTGGAGCATCTGGTGTGTTTGGCCCCCCGACTGATCAGAGAACTGTGACTGGGTTTGAGAACCTGGGGTAGCCCCCCCAAAGTTGGGTTTAAACAAAGTTGGGTCTGACTGTTTCAACTAATCAAACCCAACTTTGTTTAAACAAACTATGGCCTACCCCAGAGATGTCTTCAACTGCGTTTGTCTCAAACACGCACATCCTAGATCTAGACAAACAAAGCAACCCAAAACAAAGCCATGGGCAGCTCGGAACCCGCAAAATGGCTGATGTCCTTTTCTTTTTTCCTTTTAAACCAACTCAAAGGGGTAGCCTCAATGTGGCCGCGGCTCAAAAAAACCGGCCCCAAAATGGCACCGTACGACATCTCCACCCAAACCTGCGGTTTTTGCCCCTCCGATCGTTTTCATTTTGAGAGCCACGGGGTCTCTATGAACGACCCGGCTGAGCCATGCTCTGCCTATGGCTTGCCTCTGCCTTGCAGTTCCCTCTCAACGGAAAGGCGCCGACCCAATCGGGTCGGCCCCTTGGGACCCGAGGGGCCAAAAGAGACGCGGGCCTGGGCCGTTTTGGCCTTGGGAACATCCACCGTTTTTGTTTTTTTGAATGGGAGGTCTGATGTGAAGCCCTGAGCAAACAAGGAGGTATCTGCGTATTCTATATGGGTGATCATCATTCACGCAAAAAAAGAGAAGCAAAGGGTGAAAGAAGGAGCCTGCCAACTCGCGTTTGGCTTTCAACCTCTCGCGATTGTCCAACCTCAGCTCCGTCCAATCTCTATGGCGCATTTGGGGGTTGTCAAAATGGTCAAGACCCTTGCGGTTTGTATTCACTCAATCCAAAAATCACTCAGAAGGAAAGACTTGGGAAGGTCAGATTGGACTCTGGTAAGCCAGTTATTGGGCTTTCCAGCGGTTGGTGCAACCTATTGTCCACCAACAGGAATCCACTCAAGGGTCCCTTTGAAAGGAAGATAGCCTCGCAAGACTCCCCAGTCAGCCAGGTGCCACGTTGGTGGGGGGAAGGGTGAACTGCTTTTGGTGGGTAAGCAACGCCAGAGGGAAATTCAGCAAAACGGAAATTCGACCGTGTTGGGCAGAACCCAGGGACCCACCAGATCGACCGATCGACCGCCGAAGCCGGCGGCTTCACCGCCGGCCGGGCGAACGCGCCATGGCTTCGAGCCAAGGCGCTTGGTCCTTCTCGTTGGTGGCCACGTACACGGGCATCTTTCGGCCCTGCAGCTTCCTGCGAATTCGACATCGAAGCGCTTTTTGTTGAACATGGGGTGGCTTTGTGAGGCTCAAGACCCATTTTCAGACATGATTCGGAAGGCACCAGGGTTTAGCGGCTGCCACTCGCTCTATGGTCGGCCAGTCTTCCAATCGGACTCTGTTTCCCTTTACTTGACTCGGATGAAAGCTCCTGAAGTAGATCAATTTTGGTTGACAAGTTGATGATCAATTGCACCTAGCCAGGTATCAATCCTCTGGCTGCGCCAGGAGATGAGGGCACAGCCCGTGAGGGCCTCAACTCATCTCACTCGAGTGGATTGCCCAAATAAGTCCCACTGGTCTTCCCCAATGGCAGAAAGTCGAGGAACTCAAAAAGGTAATTCGGAGATCCCAAGTAGCTTCTAAAAAAAACGGGCTCCGCTCGCTTGCACCCATTGACAATCATGATCCTAGAACCCACGTGGTAGATCATTTGGGGTACCCAGTTTTTTCGGCCGACCCATAGAATCCATTTACTTCCATTTGGTTAAGACCCCTGGAACAAATAAACATATTTCCAGTAGTGATAAATTCCTTTTAAAACCAACAAGGGAACATAGAAAACGTTCTTAGGCAAATGGAAGTTTAGGGTATTCACATCATAGCAATTGCCATCAGCCTCCCCCAGGGTTTTTGAGGCAGTCCTCTGGACGAGTCGCTGCAAGTCCTCCACCTGCCCGCAGTTCACCGACTTGTCCATCTTCCTGGGCGTGGGCTTGGCGTGCCGAGTCAGCCCTTCGCTTCTCGGCTTTTTGGACAGTACTTGGGGATTTTAGACATGGGAGTAGTTGAAGTTCGGGGTGCTGGTGGATGCTGCGGTTTTTGAGAGGACCCCCCTTTTGGTTGATTCAGACGGGAAACTAGTCGGCCAATTATTTGTCTTTCCTTCGCTGAGTCGGGACCCAGGAGAAGCATTCGGACTCGTGCATGGCTTTCCTTTTGTCCACTCGACCCGGTTGAATGGGTTCCAACACCGACTTTATTCGATTTTTAGATACATATATGTGCACACAAGGGAACATTGGACATATGCTTGGGGACTCCGGGGATCATCAGTGTTTGCTCTACTTGACTGAAGAAAAAAAACAAAACAAGTTCTAGCACATGTATTTGTTCAAGGAACATAGGGCATATTTCTTTGGATATCCCGGTTTCGAAGAGCATCGCCGAGGCACACACAGGCACCTTCGATCCGTTCAACTTCAAGGCACGCTGGCCGACCCGCTGACCCCAGGGGGTGAAGACCGCAAACTCCTACATGGTTGGCACCGCTAAAGCATCAACCAGTGGATTCCTCCTGGGTTTCCGGTCCGGGGTCCCGATTTGGATTCCTGGAAAGTTGCTTGAATCTAAGTTCCCTCTTCACACCAACCCCCCCAAAAATCCGTGCCCAGGGCACCAAACATGTAAACCCAACATGATCTAAGGTCGAAAGCCAGGGATGGATGTGGGAAACCCCATTTCCCAGCTGATCTGAAGCTTTTCTTTTTGGTGTTGGAGCCAGTCAATCCCTGACTAAAGAGAGGCATGTCCCATGATGGACACCGTTTACTAGAATAATCACAATTATAAGACTTATTGTTATTACTATAACTATAATATGTCCCCAAAAACAAGATGGATGTGCAGGACGGAGGTTGCCTTGGGAAGAGGTTTTGTTTACCTGAAATGATGTTCGTAAGTCCAGGAACTCGGGGCTCTGGGCCCCTGTGTGTGTGTTCTTCAAGGTACCCTTGCTTGGGTTGGTTTAACGGAACACGAAATGGGTGTGTTTTAAGGGTACCATGTTTTTGTCTGGTTTTGAGAAACCACAGGCCCACCGAAGCCTTTGTTTGGTGTGTACCCTTAAAAAAAAGCACATTCCTACTTGTTCATCTGATTGTCATCCACAAAACCCTTGCATTGGTTCAACGGAAAACATTCAAATGGACCGCAAATCTCTAGGGTTCATCTGTCTTGAGGTCCACCCGAACCGTTGAGCACATTCCTCGCAAGGCGCAGCTTGCACTTGGTCAGCAGCTGGTCACCCCTTCTCCAGTGGACGCCCAGGTACCGCTGACTCCCGAAGAGTCCTCCGTGAGAAATGCTCGCGGCTTTTTTGGTTGAGCTTGGGGACCCAAACATACGACCCAGGAGAAACGTTATATCCTTCAGAAACATTGGCTGTATATATATATATATATACACATGTATATTCCTAGGCTGTACCCTCCCACCACAAAACAGGGAACATGACTGTTGGGGGGTCCTGGTGGAAGACCAGCTTCCTTTTAAAGGGACCATGTCCCTGTCAGGTTCCATGTTGATTGGCGGGAGGGTAGATCAGCCATACATTGGCTGTATACATATATGCATATGTGTGGCTGCGTAACGTATTGAGCAATTTACGGCACTGGGCTTCCCATCTTCCAGCGCTTCGGTTTCGAGTTTTTCAGAAAGCCTCTGGGCGCTGCCAGGCCACGGCAGAGCCTTCTTGCGGGTACGGATAGGATCGCGAGGACCTAGAAGGGTAAGACGTGGCACTTCAGTCGCCTCATCTAGCCTTCAAAAGGGCCCCTTATGTACTTTTGGGTTAGATGTGGTAAATTACCCCAAAATGAGGGAATTACTCTGGTAAATGGAAACAAGGACTAAAACCTGCGGTCCCTTGGGTGTTTCTTGTTGCTATGACCCATACCCATTTCAGGTTGGCCTAAGGAGTATGGTCCAGTGGTTGACCCCCTGAGCCATAGGTCAGGAGTAGATAGTCTCGAGCGCAAGTGCGGGCGAAGCGCTATCTTGAATCCATGCCCATGCGGCTTTGGGTACCGTGGGCCTAGATCCACCATGGGGTTGTAGTTGCTACTTTTCCGCCACAACCCTTACACCATCTGAGATTTGAGCCTATCACTTTAGGGTTTCTGGCGAGAAAAAGGAGCCGGTTTGGGCCTAGGAACTGCCAACCAACTCAACGCCCCACTCCAAATACCCATGGCTCTTTGGTTTTCTTAGGTCTTCTGGACTGCAAGAAAGGAAGTATTTGCGCCATGCACCATGGACAGCTCAAACCTTGATGGCCCAAACAGTTTATTTAGTATTGCTAGTTTTGCAGGTAGTGGGGGACGTATCCGGAGGGGAAAAGGTCAAATGACGGGCCAGGCTGATTCGCACCCTGAAGTATTGGGACCGATCTTGGCCACATATCTGACCCACAATCGCTCTTGGAGCCCCTAAATACATCTGCAAATTCAACCTCCGAGACCTGAAGAATACGAATTGACCAGCAAATGGACCTTCACTGTGAGCTCCTTTCACCCCCGGATCGGTGAGACAGTTGCAGATCCCATCACGAATTCCTTTTCGTCCCTTCATCCAGGTGACTCCGTCGCATCTCCTCGAAGACTTGGACGTACCTGCCAGCTTGGCAAAAAACGGGACTCGGCTTTTACCCGACTTTCAAGGGACATGTTCTCCAGCAAAAAATGGCAAAGAGCAGCTTCCAAAAACCTGGTTGACGTTGGAAGGTGAGCAAAATTTGAGTTTTAGCAGTCCAGTGGGGATTTCAACCACTAAACCGCAATTTGCAAAAATGTAAAATGTTTCCCAACCAACAAACATGAAAGGTGTCCGAGAAACAGGGCCCAGTTCTTTTCTACAAGTGGTCCCGGCCTAACACAAAGACATGTGCTCTCGCGCCATGTGCGCCATGTAAAGACTCTGTGCTTAGTTTCGCGGTCTCCAGGATCACGTTCAGACGCAGCATTTCACCACCTGTAAGGACTTTGAAGACCCTTAAAGAAGCAACTGACTTGGCTGCAATGTTCGAATAGGTAAATGCAAGGACCTGACACACCTAAAGAGATGGACCTAGACAGAACAAAATGTGGTGCTCTCTTTTTGGGGAGCTTCTTTGAGCCCACCCACACCCCTTCCCCCCCCAAAAACAAACAAACAAACAACTCTAGCACTTAACCAAGTTCGGCTTGGACCATTTTAGGGGTTGATCCAATTCTTCATCCAGTGTTGGAGGGTCCTTTTTGCTTTGGGTGTCCGTTTCAGCCAACCAAAAAGCGTCCATTTCTGCCCGGTTTTTGGAGGCGGTTGGAATATTCTTGAGGCGATCTCCCCATCAACCTCAGGAGACTCTGTTCATGTCCCATGTTCTAGGGGGAACCAGTCATTTGGACCATTTTTTGCATGTGTGCTTTAATGAAAATACTCTCCGTTACGTTAAAGGGCAAGAATCACAGAGGTGGCCCCCTTCCAAAAAATATTGAGGCCCGCCGCAACTGAGAACGGGGACGCTCCAACAACCGCTGCAGCCTGATGGCCCCTTTGGGGTCCATGTGCAAAAGATTTAATGGCCACCACTTCGGTCAAAAAAAACACACGGCCGTCCGGTTTCTGTTGATACTGTTTTGTTGCTCCTTCGCCCCCTTTTGAGGGTTCCTCTGGAGACATATAGGAGAATAAATAGGCCTCCATGTCATTTTTTGCCCAAAGGATGAAAGCGACGGGGTCTCAGCTCAGATAGGGTCCGGGTGGTCCGCGGGTGGCTCTGAGGTAACGTGTTGCAAGTGTTCCGCGAGGGTTCCGCTGCGTCCGGCAACCTTGCGGGCTGGGATCACGGGATGGTTCCGTGGAGGGTTCTATGAGGGTTTGAGTAGGACTGACCACTGTGAGGGGCGTGCTTGTGTTTTTTTCCGCATCTGCGGAAATCATACGGGTTGCTGTTGGGGATATCACGTGAGCGTATTTTATTAGGGTTGTGCCAAGCTACTGAAACAGTAGCCCAAGGGCGACCCGCAATTTGCGGGAAATCAAGCCATGGCGTTCAAAAAGCGCCAAGAACCTCACAGTCTCAATCCGCTTGTCATCTTTCCGATGGGGCCCAAATGGGGTATGGGTCAAATTCAAACCAGGAGTTGGACGGCAGGTCTTGGTCCATGTTTCCACCAGGGGGCCCATTTTGGGCACATGTTTTTGACCCACAGCCAGCTCAGTGGCTTCTCTTGGGCCCATTTTCCCGGAGCAGAAACCGCCTGGGCTGAATGCGCAAGGTGCTCGGCCACAGCTTCCAGCTCTCCATGCGCCAGGACCGCGAGAAGATACCTTCCAGCTCAGGTCTTCGGGGGGAGGTTTCGCAGTCCCGGAACCTCTGAATGGGAGTTGCAAACCGAAAATTTGAACCACACAAAACCTAAAGCACGGTTCGGAATCAGGCTTGGCTCTAAGATGGAGTGGAAGATGACGAGCCAAAGGCCTTAAGAAGCGGGATTTCCTTGTTGGCCCCTTGAGTCCCCAGGGTCTCAGAACTCTTTGATCAGAGACCCGATGGCATGTGGGGGCTTTGACGATGACAAGCACGCTTCGGCTCGCTTACTTGGAAAGCTCGCCCGGGTTTTTGGGTTGGAAAATTTTGGGCTGCGCGTGCCCCGGGCCCCTCAAAACCAACAGTGGACTGCCGAATATAGATTTGGCAACCGGCACCCAGGGCAAAACAATGAATCCTCTGGAAGTTGCTGAACACCTAGCAGGGTTTCGCTTATACAGAATCCTGCCAAGGACCAAAACCACGAGTATCAATTTGTTGGGGGTCCAAACCCAAGAAAAGGGAACCACACCCATATGCAGGTGGAGCAGAAAGCAAGGACCGATCGACCCCTTCGCTCCTCCATTTGCAGAAATGCGACCCCATGCGAAAAAAACTTGGTTGCCACCCATTTCGGGCTGTGTTGTGGGGGACTGGCACGGGTTTGTCTTGTTGTGGCGAAGGAGATGCTTTTTGGAAAAAAGGAAACCGAAGTCTGCCTTTGGGGTGCAAAATCTAAAAGGATCCTCCAAATAACCCCCCCCCCCCCGAAGATTGCCCAAAACAAATAGGATTCTGGGATGTTGGTGGTCGGATGACTGGACAACTCATCCCAAGGGGTCCAAGTCTGTGACAAGCTGCAGTTGGAGCTGTTGCTGTACTCTGAGAAGGCCACTTTGGGCAAGTAATCCCAGGATGACCTGAGCAAGCGGACCGGACGGGTGGAAGAAGAGCCGCTCGCAGGCAACGAGGGAGAAGCCCGGCAAAGCAACAGAAGTGGCAAGCTTCCTGCTAGTTTGGTAACTGGAAACCTGGAAGCGCAAATGTAAACTTGGGATGGTGTTCACCGCAGGGCTGGCGAGCTAGGCCTAGGCACGATTCTTAGATTTTCGGGGGTTCTGTTGGGTTGTAAGTTATAGCAACCAAAGCATCGAGCCAGCCGAAACCTACCCGAACCGCACCATTGGAGGTCGAAAAGGTCCGACTTGATTTAGGGACTCTGCCGAAAAGGGATGCGCAATCTCGTCGCTCAGCATCGGAGCTTCCGCAAACCGGATTTCGGGGCCACCTTCTAAGCTCCCGATGGGTTTGTCCTCTGTTGACTACGCGCAGAGGAGGGGCAGAACCATGGAGTTTTGGCTCTGCCGTGGTTGCAAGGGCTTCTTGCTGGCCCGCCTATCATTCAAGGTAGGAACCTGGTCCCCCAAAAACGACCACCAAACTTGGCCCAAGGAGCGCTCACATGTTGCGATCAAGATATGTTGTAAGCCCAAGCACATGGGCTTGACCGGAGCTTGTGCACCGGCACCAACCCCAAACTGTTAAAAACTGCCTGCGGAGACACGAGCCAAGCCGGAACAAACCCGAGCCAAAAAGCTTGCAGCTACCCAACAAAAACACGAAGAAACGAACAAGCCACATTTTTCCCAGGCCGCGGATGTCCATCGCCACAGAATTGGCGCCCGATGAGTTGGGGCGCTCGATCCTTTTTTCCTCCTATTGTTCTGGCCATGGGGGACAAAAGGAATTGGCCCCCCGATCGGTTTGTTTGTTGACTTGAACGTGTGTCCTCCAAAGAGGACAACCACCCGATCGTGGACCATGAGGGTCTGGGCGGGAAAACAAACAACTCCCATGCCGTCTTGGGCCCAAGCCAACAAAGCCATGTTTGCTTGGTTGCATTGATCACCATGGGCCATGGGGTTTTCAAGCTTGGGCCTTGGCGCCGTCCTCGGTTTTTGCCGGCCGAGGAAAGGCTCGGAAGGGTTCGTCTGGGCCCTTGCACTCAAGGTCCGCTTTTCTCTGCGGGCTGGGCCGAATCTTTTCCTAACCCGGTCTCAGGCAACGCATCGGCCAGATGCCCCGGCGTTGGAGGGACGCAAGCATTGGACCACTTTGCCTACATTCTTTTTGCCTGGTAGATGATTGAACACCAGGTAAACCAAAAAGGACCACCAAAAAGGTAACCTGCCCTCTATTTTTCAACCAAACCAACCAAAAAGGACACCTATGATTGGACACCTTTGGTTCGAATCCTAGGGGTTCCGGGCACCTGTGCGAGGCCGCCCTACCCCCCACCCGGAGAAAGCTAATTTCGCCATCGCTGCGCGTTGAGCAGTCGCCAGAAGACGTACCAATCCTCATGCGGCCGCTTTTCGCTGAGGACTAGGTTCAAACATTTAGGGCCCATGGGGAATCAAGGGCCGCTTTTTCGGTCGAGTCTTTTCAAGCAAAGGGGGCCCCTCCTAACAAAAGGGAAATAGAGAGAAGCCACGAGGCGCTGGTCTGACCTGCGATCCTTCCTGCCTTTCAATTTGCGCCACAGTCACCGGCCTTTCTGTTCAGACCGAATTGTTTGAGCTTGGGGCCTGATGGCACCGAGAGCAAAGGGTCAACACCCGCGGGTCAAAACGGTCGGCATGTTAGTTTGCGCCCCCACCCGCCTCCGGAAAAAAATGAGTTTGCCTCAAAAATCGGGGAACCCCCAAAATGGCTGGCCAAAGTTGCTGGAGTTTCCCTTAACCCCCCCCTTCCCAATCCCCCCTCCCGGCCCCCAATCCATCCGAAGCTGCCCCCATCTGCCCGGTGTGCCGCAGCGGGTTGGTCTCCCGCCCATCGAAGCGGCACTGCTTCGAGCGCACCAGCCTGGGAGCAAACAAATTTCTCGGGCGCAGGTCCCTCGGCTCCACTTCCCGGCAAATTGACATGGAGCCAACCAAAACACCATTTCTAGGGAGGAAGCTCCTTTTGACGACTTTTCGGACCCCCTTTTTTGGGTTCTAATTATGCTAATATGCTGGGAAGTATCTTCCCAACTTTTGGCAGGACCATAAGCCTTTTGGAGGTTGAGGGAAAGTAAGATACACTAGGCGTCTAATTCGTGGGACTTTGTCAGTCCTTTACCAAGGAGAAGGCCCGGGCTTGTGAACTGTTGAGTGGCTTTGCCAAAAGGCTATGATCAACTAAGAACCTATATTTGCGAACCGGATTGGTCAGAACCGGTTCTCTTTGGGGCGGGCAACTGTGCAGATTCTGTTTGAGCTCCCAAGTCTCCAAGTCAACCTGCGGAGAGCTGGGATAATCGATCCTTTGGGAGCTCCGGTGCTTCTCTTTGGCGCTGAGTTGCGTCAACACAGTCGCTCCCGAACTTTGGCATTTGGCCACGTCGAACCAGGGTTGCTCAAGGTGAACACCCTTAACCCTTAAGATTTGGCCCCCGGGAAACCACCGGAAACCGCGACTCCCAACTTGCTATCAACTCCCATTTGATCCAACTGTCGCGACTCGCAACCCGGCCCAAAACCCCATTTGCCCGTAGAGAACCAGCAAGCAACGATCCCACCCACACTGAATCCGGTGGATTTCCGCGGGGAAAATGTGACTTTGGCGCTTTTCTTGTTATATATATACACATACAAAGGGTTTCACCTCCTGCAAAAAGTGAAAAAGAAGATGGCTGGTAACCCAATTCGGGAGGGGGGGAAGGCTGAAACTTCATGTCATTTTTCCCAGGCTCTCATGAGAACACCAAGTCAATCAATTTCTGGTTCATTTGGGGGGGGGTTGTGCGTTTTAGGGGGGTTCATAGCTTTCGGAGGGAACACCTCCAATGAAAAAGGCTGGGATTAATTAATCAAGGCTGAACATTAGCAACCCAATGGTGACTATTAGGGACTTAGCCACCTTTGCGGCCATTCATGACCATTGAGGGCCATGATTTTCCATCCGCGTGCTATGGATCTGAATCAGTACTGGATGTTGAGCAAGCCTGCTGTGGTTTCCTTGTTTGGGCTCCCCTTTAATCCTGGATTTCATAAACCTCTGTTTATTAATATGGGGGCGGGGGCTCCTCCAACAGTGATGCAACCCCATTAAAACCAGAGAAACCCCCATAGTGATTTACATGGGTTTCTTCATCCGGGGACAAATTGATCTTTCAAACCTTCCATTTGCTTGAGCCCCCCTGGAAAAATCTATATTTCCAGCAGTGATAGATTCCCTTTAAAACCAGCAAGGGACAATAGTCATGCTCTTAAGCAAATGGATGAAACACAAAGACAAGCCGAGTTGGGCCCAAGTCGCTGATCTCGATCATCCTCCGGCGTGAGGTGCGTGGGCTGCTGGCACACTGCGTTCGGCAGCTCCAGCACGTCGTCCAGACATTGGGGCACGTTATGCACCTCGAGGCACTGACTGACCCAACTCCAGGGAAGCCACGGAAGGAAATGCTGAACGTGTCGAGGAACCACCCTCACTTCTTGAGTGGATTGGCCAAAAACAAGGCCCTTAACTTGTTGTTTGTCCAAAAACAAATGGTTTCTAAAGCCCAGGAACGCAGCAAGTGAGCACAGATAGAGAGCTGCCCAAATTCTTCAGAGTTTGGGCGAAATGCTGAAAGAACGGGGAAACGCGAGATACCTGGGTTGGCTTCACCTTCTAGGGCCTTCCGGTGGATGGATTTGGAGAATCCCAGACCGGCGGACCCAATGCTCCGTGTGAAAGAAAGTGTTGTCTTTGTAGGGCGATGTCCCCCTTGAGGATTGACCCTTGGAGGGGGTTAACCGTTGATTTTAAAGAGTTTCGCCCCCTCCAAAGAAGGCTTGCGGCTCCTAACAAACTGAACAAAGGCAAGACCAACCCACAGGTCTGGGTTGAATGAGAACTGGCTTCAGGGTACCTTACCTGTAGGCCGCGAAAAGTGCAGACTCACTCTTCAAGAGGTCGCTGAACACGATCGCCAAACAAAAACAGACACCACAATTTAGAAGACTATTTTGGTGGTGGTTGATCCACATGCTCATGCGCAGGCTCCAGCACATGAAGACCAAGCCCATCAACCTGCAAGCCCAGTATTATAGCTTGCGTTGCACATGAGGTGCAAACAAAAAGTAGTTTCTCTGAACAATCCTGAGAACTTGGGCGTGCCCCTTTGTTATTGCGGGGAGTGCTCCTCCCATCTCCTTCCACAGCAGTGGATACCGTTTGTTGCTCACATGAGAACCCAGGTTTCTCATTCTGAGTGGATGGAAAGAGCAACATCCAGACATCTTCTAGAGTCAGTGTGCGCGCTGTTGCATCTCTTGAACCTCTAACAAATTGGTGTGTCCATTCTGAAGGGGACCCCCCAAACCGTTGGTGTTGCTTTGGGTTACCCTGTAACATTCCACGAAAAGAGCGTAACAACTCTAAACACGACACCCCCACACCCGACACGCGATCTTTCAATCACCCCAAAGGCCTTGGGCAATTGACTCGCCCCAGTTGTCAGTTGGCGCAAGCTCCAAAGCACAGCGGACCGGATGCGACTGGCCCGTCTTTGTTCAGAAGAAGCCAGTGTCTGGTGACGGGTTTCCTTTTATTTCTCTTTGTAATGAAGCAAAGGGTAGCCCTGTCAAGTTCGCGACTGAAGCTCATGCTCCTGCAGACATCTCTGAAGCAAGTTGTTGAGGCCAGGGACTGGTTTAAAGAGCTTGTTGCTTTTTGGTTGTAATTGCCGCACTCCGTGGCACTCTTTTTTTTAAGGCGCCCAAGCACTCTCTCCAGGCTTCTTGGAACAGCCTACTGGGGTTTACGTCCTCACCACCTAAGATGAGCGCTTGATGTTTCTTGGAACTTCACCCCCTAGAGAGGATAGAATAAGGGTACCCCTTTTTCGGTAGTCTATTTTAGGGCAACCCTCCCAACCAAAAAAGAAACGGCAAGAAAGGGCGGGGACGGACCGCCCCCGTCCCAGAAAGCTATTGACCCGCGGCCCGAGCCGGCGGCCGAGCCGCGGGCCAGGCGTGCTCCGAGCGCATGGGCGCGAGCACCAGCAAGCGTCGCTTGCTGCGGAGCAGCAGGCGGTAAGCGTCCAAGGTGGACAGCAGTTGATTAGTGTAGCCTGAGGGCTGCTGGGCCTCTGTGGGCTGGGAGCATGTCAGCTTTTTTCAGAAGGAAGCCATGTAGCTGGTTGGTGTAGCCTGATTCCATTGGTTCAGAGGTGAAAGGAACCTATGAAGCTGGTTGGTGTGGCTGGTGTAGCCTGAAGCCATCTGCTGATTGGGTTGGGGTTGGTGGAAGGCACAAACACACACAGGGGCAACATCAGGGAAGATTTCAAGAAAGATAAGGGATCCCCAAATCGTAGCCTGACACAAGAGCTGGTGTAGCCTAGTTGGTTCTTGACCATGTACTCAGTTCACGTGACGGAACCCTGAAACAAAAGGTGATACTGTGGATTGACAACACTCGTTCACACCACTTTGAAACCGTGGTTGAAACCACTGGTTGCTGACATATATATATATATATATATGTATACAGGAGATCATCAGAAACCAGGGTTTCTCAGGAGGTGCGAAATGGATTTCGTCCATCCACAGTATCACCTTCTGCCATGACGAAACATGGACCACGAGAACAATAAGCAGTCAAAAGGTCCATTCGCTTTTGTTGCAAGCGAGGCTTGCGCGAAAAGGGTGGTTTGGGTTCGTGATTTGGAGGTGCTCCGGGCGTGGTCTCCCAGTTGCCCTCTACAAGAACCAGGGGTTTCTCCAGCGTTACTCCACGTTTCTGGTCCTTACTGGGCTCAAGGATGGTATCGACCCAACCAGGCAACCAAGCAACCAAGCCTACAATGACTGCGCCCGAGCTGGTTGGAAGATGAACTCTACTCACTGCCTTGTATCCATATTCCCAAGCTTCCGCGCAACAAACGTGGGCAACACGGAGAATCGCCGAACTCGAAATCTGCGAGACCACGATTTTCTATTGGATCCTCATACGGATTTGTCTTTCTTTGAGGGAAGCCTCACAAGAGTGAATTATCCTTCGGTTTCCCTTCAAACCAACGTAAAAAAGGCCCCCCCCACAAAAAGGAACCACATCTATAACCTGAAACTTCATGTCCCACAAAGAGGGGCGAATGGACACTAAAGGAGACCAACCCAGGGTCACCCAACCCCAATGGCTTCTCAACAGGATTTGGACCAAGGGATTTCGGTGTTCTCTCTAAATCGTTTTGGTTTCTATTTCAATCCCAGAGCGGCCTTTGAAAGAGACCCAAGGGTGTCACATCCCCCAAAGTGGCCCCTTTTTTCAGGCTTACTACTACCTTTTGAGCTTGCGTACCAAGATCCCAAAATTGGAAAACCTTTGGAAACAAGGTCTTCCCACGCGAAATCTCAAATGATCTTCTGGACCACCTTTCTCTCCTTTCCCCCCCATTTCCCCCCTTTCTCCCCTTTCTCCCCAACCTGTTGGGTCCTTGGGTGGATAGTCCCTGGTTTCTTCCCTTCGTTTTCGGCCAAAGTGACCCTGGCTGAACTTGAGTCACCCCAAGATGTAACAACAATTCCAACACAACTCCCGGCTTCCCCACCTAGCCATTCATTTGGACCTACAGCCAAAATTACGTCCATCCATCTGCCCAGTTTGGGGGAATTCAGGGGTCCCTTACACCACCCCCCACCCCCCTCGCCAGCCGTGAGCGCTTCAGCCAGCCCAGTGCGCCCCGCAGCCCGCCTTCGGCACCCCCCACGAAGACCAGGCAGGAGAAGTTCCAGCCGTCCTCCTCGCAGCTCTGCACCGCGGAGCGGTTCACCTCCAAAGGCCTCGGTCCATGGAACGCCAGCGCCTCGTGAAGGTGCCGGGAAAACACCGAAGGGTTTCCTGCAGTGGTGCGGGCACTGGGAATATTATACTTGACAATAAGTAACAATAAGGCACTGCAGGCCAGTAGAAAGCAAATGAGCAAGGTATAAGATGGTTCCCTTGGCTAGCTGTACAAGGAGACAGACGTTTGGATTGGTACAAGAGCATGAGTGGGTCCTCCATCCCAACAAAGGGGGCTTCCGTTCATCTTCAGGAGAGTACCCCTCAGACCATCAGACTCACGCAAGAAGGCGGACCCTCTTCAGTGCCTTTAAGGTTTCACACACCAACAAAAATGAGAAACGGGCAAGCCTAGAGGTCTGGAAGATTTCTTTGAAGCTTTTGCTCGGATCCCCCATGCAGCCACAAACCCTTACATGGGGGGGGGGGGATTGTCAACATTAGGGGTGCAAAAAGGAAGCGTCCATCGTTTTTGATTTGTAGGGGAATTTCTCCCCCAAACCCCTGTACCTTCCCTTACATATATATATATATATCCTTACATATATATATATATAGATTCCCCTACACACACATATATATATATATATTCCCTTATATATATATATATAATCTACTTCCCCCTCCATGGGCTGCTTGGCATGTTGTTTGTTTACTCTGCCAGCGGGCAGGTTCTTCAGCTTAAAGAACTCCGTGGTGGAGGTCGAGTTGAAGTCCGCCAGAGTCGTATTGAACTCCTCGCCTGAAGGCGGCCTGAGGTGGGGAGGGGGCGGGGTGGGGCGGGGTTGTGGGTTTTGCAGTTTAGACGGACTATGGGCTGTGGCCTTGTTGGAGGGTGCTTCCTTTTTTGGGGGTTGTCGAAGAGGGAAACCAAAATGAAACCGCCTGTTTGGAGGGTTACCCTATTTTGAGACAAACCATTATATTAAAATATGGACCCATATTTGGCTGTGTCTTTTTTGGGGGACGCCCAAAACTGTATGTTTGCCTTTTGGTTTCCCTGAAAAAAAGCCACAAAAGAGGGGTACCCTTAAACAAGACACTCCCATATCCCGCTAAAAGGATTGTGCGAATGATGCTCGGCACTTGAAATGGAGATCAAGGCCTGCCATTGGCATCATTTTGGTATCAGAGAAGTGGACACGCACATCCCACAGCCGGGGGTTTTAAACATGGAACCAACATGAACCATCCCGCAAAGCCCCCAAACCCCAACTCACACACACACCACTCCCCCCAACTCCGGTAGAAATGCTTTGTTTGCCTAGGACAATCTTTTCCACAGCGCTTCAACCAACCAGCCAGGGAACCGGACCAGGTCACACAGGCAACATCGGTCACAGGACAAAGGGGGTTATTTTTTGGTCGAGAACTTTGACCAACCCACAAACAAAAACGATCACAAAAACGAAGAAGTGGAAGCCGCCAGGCTTTGGTCTGATTGAGAGGCCCGCTCTGGTCCCTTGCGTCAGGAAAAAACGGCAACTCCAGCCCCCATTGCAGGCCGGAGCGCGGCTGAGAAACCTCCGCGGTACGTACCGTAATTGAAGCACTGGCCAATGCGTCCACAGGCGACCTGTGTTCGAGGGGCGCGAAGCGGATCATTAACATCTTTGCAGATTCACGTTTTCTTTCTTCAAGTTTGTTGTTGTTGCCATCGTCGCTGTGATTGTTATTGCTGTTGTTGCTGTTGCTGCTGCTGCTGCTGTTTGCTGTTTGCTGTTTGCTTTTTGCTTTTTGCTGTTTGCTGTTTGCTGTGTGCTGTGTGCTGTGCGCTGTGTGTTGTGTTGCGTGTTGTGTGTTGTGCGTTGTGTGTTGTGCGGTGTGCGTCGCGCGTTGTTGGTTGTTGGTTGTCGGTTGGTTGTTTGTTTGTTTGTTTGCTAGACTTTCGGGGCTCGCAACCTGGAACGGTCTACGAAAAGAATCCACAGCCTTTGGAGTTGACCCAAAACAAGCTGCACGGTATTCAGGCGGAACCCGCTGAGTCACTAGGAACCCAAGGGCGCCAACAGTGAAGGATTAGCTAGAAGGATGCCCGAACATTTGGGGCTTTTTTACAATGGTAGAACCCTCAAAATGACAACGATTTCAATGTTGCTTCCCTTTGAAACCAACCATTCCGTACTTCCAACCAAACCAACACAGAGCCCATGTGGCTGTGGGTCAAAACCAATGGGATCCCATTTTGGGGTAGGTGCACCACCCATTTTAGAACCTATTTTAGTGGTTGGATTGGGATGTTCACTGGGGGTACGATTTGGCTTTGACCTATGGCCATGCGTTCCACTTGAGCTTGGCCAACGGGCTCGATGGAAAACCGGCCAAGTCGCTGCGTTGAAGCGAAGCTGCCCGGCGGCTCATTGGACTCGTCAAAGGATTGGCTCCAAAGCCTTCGCAGTGTGGGCGGGGCAAACAAAGCCCCTTTGCAAGCTCAATCGTCTTCGCATGTGTGTATGCATGCATGTAATGTAATGTAATGTAACACAATGTACCGTAATGTGTGTATGTATGTATGTATGTATGTACGTATGTACGTATGTATGTATGTATGTATGTATGTATGTATGCAATGCATGAATGTATGTATGAACGTACGTATGTACGGAATGTATGTGCTTATGCATGCATGTATGGAATGTATCTATGTATGTATGTACGCATGTGTGTATGTTATGCAATGTATGTATGTATGTAATGTAATGTGATGTGATGTGATGTGATGTGATGTGATGTGATGTAATGTAATGTAATGTAATGTGTGTAGGTATGAAAGTACGAATGAATGTATGGGGTTCCCGCCCTCCACCCCCATCTCATCTTCAAGGAAGCTGTAGGTGGTGAGGACTAGAGATGAAAAGGGAGAACAGAGAGGCAAGATAGAGGTTTAAATTCGGTGAGCGTTGCCGCTGGCCAATTATTAGCTGCAGAAGGTATCTCTGAGAAGCGAGAAAGTGATAGAGATGACAGAGAGACTGGTGTAGGCAAGAGATGGGAAGGTCATAAGGGCAGATATTCATTGGCCATCCTCCCCTCGCGCCTTCATTTTCCAAGAATATCCTTGGCAAACACACTGTGCGCAGTGCGCTTCAGACTGCTTCCAAAATCTGAGCGCCCTGTCAATCATCTGTGGCAAAGTAGCAAAAAACTCGAGAAAATCAAAAAAACACCAAACTTCCAGACAACTACTTTTGGCAAGGCAGGCCGTCATACCAACACATTTCCCTCATATCTTTGTATTTTTGTTTTTTGGTTTTCGAGTTTTTTGAGTTTGGGTTCTCCCCCGTCATACCAAAACATTTCCCTCATATGTGAGGCAGCGTTAGGTGTGTTTGTTTTTGGTTTTTTGTTTTCTCGAGGTTTTTTGCGTTTTGGCTCTCCCCAAAAAACGCAGGGCTGGGGACATTGGCTTCTGATTACATTACATTACATACATACATGCACACGTACCTACATACATACATACATGCATACATGCATACATACATACGCACATACATACATAGATACATTCCATACATGCATACGTAAGCAAACACCCCACACATACGTACTTTCATACATTCATACATACGTACAAACATACATACATACATACACTACATTGCATTCCATTGCATTGCATTACATTACATTACATTACATTGCATACACACATGCGTACATACATTCATAGATACCTTCCATACATGCATACGCAAGCAAGAGATCAGAGAGAAGGGAAGGAGATGGATGGCCATCCAACCATCTCGTTTCCCGTAGTCATGTCTTAGAATCCAGAATGTCTTTCATGTCACCTAGGTACTTTATTCCAATTCTCTTTCCTATCTCTTCATTTTCTCTACTTTCCTAGCCGTTGCAACGGTGAGAATGGAAAGGAGAAAGGAAATAGATGAAGAGAGAGATAGGAAAGTGATTAGGTAAGAGGTGACAAGAGGAAATCCCACCCGCTGGCCAGTTCTTTCCAGCAGTTACAAATGAATTCCTCTTCCTTCACCTCTATTCAGCTTTTCTTTCACAATCTCTTCCGCAATTCTAAGTTACTTTGGCAAAGGGGGGAGGTCAAGAGAAGGGAAGTGAGTGAAAGCTAGACGGGCTGGAATGTCTTTATTGTTGTCCCAGCTCTTGGTCTAACCGTTCACTCTCTATCTCTTTCCCAATCATCTTGGCCTGTCATTCCCATTCTCTTTTTGTGACCTTGGGAGTGGCATGAGAGGTAAGAATGGAGAAAGGGAATTCTAGAGATGGAAAGCATTTGTGCTTTATATCTCTAAAAATGTGGAAAAGCTTTTATGATAGTAAGCATCTCTTTCCCTTTCTCTTCCTTGCTTGTCCTGTCTCTTCGCTCACTTCTTCACTCATCATCACCTGCAAGCGAGAGAAAGGAGATTGGGAAGGGTGAGGGAAGAGAGTGAGTGGGGCAGTGCGCTACGGGGTTGTCATTGGCGCTGAGGTCGCGCATGGGAAACGTGGTGATGTTGAAGATGCGCCGCGGTTGCTCAGGAGTGTAAACTGCATGAATGGGCCTGCAAGTGAGCCCCTCCACCACCTCTTTGAGGTCATCATAGGTCATGTTCTCGGCTTCCAAGGCCATGTCTGTGTGCAAATGTTCGCGGGGGACAGGAATGGCAGGCAAAGGTCAAGACAAACAGGCACTGCCAAATGAGGATGCAAGGGTGCGTAGGTACGTATGTATGTATGCAGGTACGTATGCATGTATGTATGTATGTACGTAAGGTACGTACGTATGTATGTATGTATGCAGGTACGTAAGCATGTATGTATGTAATGCAATGTAATGAAAATTAATATGATGTAATGCAATGCAATGCAATGTATGTATGTACCAATGTAATGTATGTATGTATGTATGTACGTATGCATGTGCGTATGTATGTAACGTAGTGTAACGTAGCGAGCGTACCGTAACATAATGTAATGTATGTAGGTATGCATGCATGCATGTATGTAGGTACGTATGTATGTATGTATGTAGGTACGTATGTATGTATGTATGTATGCCTGCATGTATGTATGTATGTATGTATGTACGTGTGAATGTATGTAGGTATGTATGTATGCATCTATGTATGCATGTAGGTATGCATGTATCTATGTATGTATGTATGTACGTATGTATGTATGTGTGTACGTATGTACGTATGTAGGTACGTACGTACGTATGTAAGCATGTACGTACGTACGTATGTATGTATGTAGGTACGTATGTATGTATGTATGTAGGTACGCATGTATGTATGTATGTATGTATGTACGTAAGAATGTATGTATGTATGTATGTATGTATGTATGTATGTATGTATGCGAGTACGTATGTATGTATGTACGTATGTATGTTTCTACGTATCTTTGTATGTACGCACGTATGCATGTATGTAGTTATGTATGCATGTATGTAGGCATGTATGTATGCATGTGTCTATGTATGTATGTATGTATGTATGTATGTATGTATGTATGTATGTATGTATGTATGTATGTATGTATGTATGTACATATGTATGTATGTACGTATGTATGTATGTATGTATGCATGTACGTAAGAATGTATGTATGTATGTATGTATGTATGTATGTATGTATGTATGTATGTATGTATGTATGTATGTTCATATGTATGTACGTATGTATGTGTGTACGTAAGAATGTATGTATGTATGTATGTATGCATCTATGTATGTATGTACGTATGTATGTACGTAGGTACCTATGTATGTATGTATGTATGTACGTACGTACGTACGTATGTGTGTGTGTGTGATTCATGCATGCATGCATGCGTGCAATGCAATGCAATGCAATGCAATGCAATGTAATGAATGTCCATATATATATATATATATACATATATATATATATATTATACATTTTGTTTGAGAGCGCACTTTCATACAAGAGTTCTGGATATCCATTCGGCAAACCATCTGCACCAATTAGAATAAGATTTGGATTCCACACAATGGAGACGCATTGACGAGCTCGTAAACAGTGAGATTATGTCCGTGCGGCATAGGCACGCCAGCTCAGCCTGTTGTAAGGTTGACCCAGCGCTGCACGAACCAGCGCCACAACTTTGCCCTTGCGGTCGATGGAAGCTTGCCATAGAGCTGAAAATACAGATGATTGCTGCCATGATTCAAGCTCGAATGGGTGGCGGGATTTGGCTGGGAGTTTTTGGCTTCCAAACTCGTCTCAACAGGATGCCTGGGTTCCTTCAGGTGGTTGCATCTCTCACTTGAGTGGATTGGCTAAACAAAGTCTCTGTTTACCATCTAAAATCGTCTTCCTAAAAAATATAAAGACTATAAACTCAAGAAGTGAGATCTTGAGAGGGTCTCGAAATGTCTTTTGAGATCCGGTGGTTTCACTTCAACCCATTCAAAGGGACTCTTAATAGTAGTATTAGGGAATCCTCATCACCGGCGCAGTCGCTGGAACTTCTCGCGACAGTCAAGTGAAACGCTCGCTCGGCTACACACATGAAGCAAAATCCATCCCTCCAAACTTGGGCTGCCAAATGGGCTCTGGTTTTATGGATCCACCTGAAGGTTTGAATGTGTATCCTATCCCTTTTGTCCGGGAAGCGAACTACCTCCTTTGAGAAACAATAAAAAATGACCAATTCCCACCTGGTGAGTGCCTGTAAAAAAAACATACGCTATGGTGACTAGGTCCTGCCGTAGAGAGGTTAGAATAAGGGTACCGCCTGTTTTTTCAGGACGTCTATTTTGGTAGGGGAACCCTCCCCCAAAAAAGGGGAGAGAAGGGCACTACTGGGGGACCTAGGTGAGTTCCTCCCAGTGCCCCTAAGGATCCGATTGATTCCTCGAGCTTCAGGAGCCTTTTGGAACATATCGGGGAGTTTCAAACACCTGGAAATATATAAAAGGTTCACATGTTGGCACCTTTGCAACAACATTTGAAGTTGGACCCAAGGGAAAATCAACCAACTCTAAAGCAACATGCTAAAGTTGGACCAGGGAAAACCCACCGGGGGGGGGGTTCCAAGCTTGGCTCTGAACAACTGAGACTCCCACTTCTCCCCGAACCGAGATGTGCCGAACCGACGTCGTCCTCCATTTGCGTTTTCGTCCCCTGGAAAAACAGAACAATCTTTCCAGTAGTGATAGATTCCCTTTGAAACCAACAGGGGAAGCCAAACAAAGTCTTACAACCAAATGGGTATGGGTCAAAATTACAGCACCGGACCGCGGGTTTTAGTCCTTCCATTTACTAGGGTTCCGACATGGATACCCATTTTGGACCGAATGGAAGTCGTCCGATTCGGCCTCAGGAGGCCCAGCAAACTCAGCGCCAGCAGCAGCGCGAAGAGCCGCGCCATGGCGAGGCCCGCATCGCGAAACACGGGAGGTGAAGCGGTACCGGGGAAATTCGGACGGGCCAAGGAGTTGTATTTCTTGTGCGACCTCAGTAACCAAAAAAAGGCACCCTCCAAATATATATATATATATATGTATTCATGCTTTTATTGTCCTTCCTTTTTTTTTGGGGGGGGGGAGGGGTTGGGGCGGGGGGGGCTCTGACCCTCAAAAACTCCGAAAATTAGTTGATTCACACTTTGGAACTAAAGGACTCCCCGACGCAACATCTCTTTTGGGTGAGTCGTTCTCGGCTCAGATCTGCCAAAATCGGCCCATCTTAGGGGGGGGGGTGGCTGTGGGGGCGCTGGATTCCTTTGGTCCGCAAAGAGAGGTTCCAGTTGAGGCGCTTGAAGATTCAGGAAACCCAATAAACACATGTCCCATTCGCAATATAGATTCCCTTGAAAACCAAGAGGGGGAAAGCATCTTAACTGGGCTGTCAGATCCCCTGCTAAAAGTTTAACCTTTAATTAGTGGTTTAATGAAAGCCGCTATACCAAGGAAAAGGCTGAAAAAGCCTCAGGAGACGATTCGCTGAAAACCTCCAAGCTTTGCGATGGGCGCATGCTCGAGTCGAGCCCCGCTTGGCCCGACTTACCGGGCCAAAGGCTGCAGCTTTGGAGTGCGCAAAAAATAAACCCTTGCTGCTGCGATAGGTAGGGAACGACCTAGGGTTCGGGAATGCAGCGTTTGGGGATTCCCGAATAAAGGAAACCGCCAGGTGGATGGTTTATGGGCTTCATTCCATTTCGCATTCCCTGCCCATCACAGCAAGTTACCTTGGCTTGGCGATTGATTCAATGGCAGGGCAACTGGCCCCATGCCTTTTTACCATCCAAGTCACTCCCAAGTGGTAAAAGGGAAGCAGTCCCAGTTGCAGACTTTCATCGCCCAATTGTCGACCAACAATGACCCTACACGAACCAGACATGTTCGCTTTCATTCTCTTTTGAGGGTGGCTCTCCCAACGTGCTATGCGAATGACACACCACTCACCCAGACCATGGACCCCGAACTGAGCTGACATGCTAGGGTGCATGTATCATTGAAAACCCCCCTGCTCAAACAGCTGGTGCGGATTTACCATTGGAACATTCTGGACAACCAGGCTGTTCAACATCTGCCAAACAACCTATGTGTCGAAGGGGGATGCGAAACATGGTAGTTTTCCTTTTGATGTCCCTTCAAGTCAACCTGCACAGGGTACAACCACAAGCACACTCAAATCGTCTTTTCTCACTTCCTCAACGCACATTGGCAAAGACAAGTCTTTTGCTTCGTTGTCACTAAAATGGCCCAAACAGAGAAAAGTGAGGAAAGGACTTGTGACGGGGTTCCCCCCCAAATCGGAAAGAAGGCACCCCCCTTCCCATGGGAAAAACCGTTGGCTCGGCGATGGGGGAAAACGCTTTTGCCTTCTTCACCACATAGCCAGCAGCAACGAAGTCCTGGATGGGAGGCCCAAAAAGCTGGGGAAAAAAGGGGTGGGAGGGAGGGGTAGGTATTGGGGTGGGTGGGTGGGCCGGGCGGCTGGTTAAAATTGCACGCCCATTTACGTGCTTTGTTTCGGTGTTTCAATTTTCAGCTATTTTCCCGTGATTCTGCACCAAGAAAATGAATTGGGGGCAACCAAAAGGAAGTCGGAAGCTTCACCTTTGCAACCGTCCGTTACCCCGGGCAAATGTCCACATCCCGAGTGAAGTGAACTCATGGGCCTCGAGCAAGCCATTGAAACCTATCTCTCATAACCTAACCTGAGGCCTTCGCAGTGCTTCAAGGAGTGTGGAGCCAAGAAACTCCTGAGGCCCGGATTTTTCTCGGGAATGCCCCGAGAAATTCGGCGACCGACAGGGGGTGAATTTTTCTGAATCCCCGCTGGACAGGGCTTTCGACGAAGCAACAGCTCTCCTGCCCTTTGTTGGTCATCTGGGTAAAAAATCGGACGGAAAGGACCCTCAACCTTCAGGTCGTCAGGTCTCCAGTCTCTGACACCTCCACTTCGTGGACTCCAATTCCTGGGGTTCCTCGTGGCGTATACCAAAAAAAAACAAGCAAAAGGGGCCCTGTGTTGCCATTCTTTCTGAATCACCCCTCGAAATCCAGGTTTCACCCTTGTGGTTTCGGGTTGATTGTTGCGTGTTTCTCCGGGCAGGGATTTGGAGCCCGGCATCTGAAGCGAGAATCCTACCCAAAAGTTTGGGGAAGCTTTCAAAACTGAACCCAAAAGCAAGCCGAACCTGCCGCACTTGCCTTTCTTTTTCTTGCTGGTGCTCAGCGGGAATGAGGGAATGCCCCCTATAAACCATCCAACTGGTGGTTTCCTTTCAGGGGACCCAATTGGGTTCATTCCCTCATTCCGTACTGAGCACCAGCAAGCTTGCATGTGTGAGCCACTTTTCTTCAGAGGCGCCCAGGGTCTGGTTGTTGAAACAAACGTTTCCCACTGGCCCCACTAGCGGAAGACCCAAAGCGGCTTCGGCATCCGGCCTTCAGATCGCGGGCTTGCGTCGCCTCATGGCATTCGACGGGTCGCGCAAAGGCGGCCGCCCTGTTCAGTGATCCTGGTAAAACAAGAGAACCTGGGAACCCTTTTGGGTGTTGACTACTTCTAGTGGGCAGGCCATCAATCAAAAAGGGACTTGGACGGTGCCACTGAACAACTGGGAAACATGTTTTAACAAACGGGATCCGGCTTTCACCAAAGGACAATTGTGTGAGTGATATCGGGTATTCCTTGCTCCCCTTTCTATTCCATCCAAACGGCTTCCCCGCGGAACAACGGAACACCACTCACTAGGGGAAGCTGAGATTTGCCGATCGGAGTGAGTTCCCCGATGTTCCACACCAGACTTCCTTTTCGCATCATCTCTGGCCATGGGTCAAAAGCCAAACTTCCGTACCCCCAGTGAACATCCCCAATCCAACCACTAAAATAGGTTCTAACATGGGTGGTGAATTCACCCAATCCAACCAAAATGGGATCCGATCCAAAACGGTTTTGATTCATCCAATCCGATCCGATTGGTCAGGATCGGGCCCTGGCGCAATCGCAGGACACGTAGACCAAGCGCTTGGGCTTCAATCGCAGCACTGCTGCCCGCGCCTTTGGATGCGGTGGGTCAGGCCACTCCGTTTTGTGGCTCGGGAATGTCGACTTTGGAGTCATAACCCCGTCTGACTTGTGGGGGGGGGGGGTGTTTGTGTCCCTTTAGTGGGATTCATCACTTTTAAGCCAAAGCCATTTTGGGCCCAAATCAATAGGCGGAAATGAACAATTCTGCAACTTCCTGGACTAAAAAGAGCGCCCCCAAAAAACGCGCGCGCACACACACACACACCAGCAGCCCACTGATATTCACTATGAGGGACGTCAACAAGCATTAAGGGCCATGACGATTCATTCACTTGCTATGGCTCTGAAGCGGACATTATCGGATATGGGGGCGAGATATACGTTGAGACGTATGTCTGTCCCTGCGTTGTTTGGGACTGTTGGGGCTATTGTAACCAGAACTTGCAGGACACACTCCCATTTTGCGGATCCCCCAAACTTTGGAGACGCCCGCAAAAACTGACATCTTTTGGCAACTGCAGGGACAAGGGCCACCCGAAGTCCAACAGCTTTTGTATTTACAGCTCTTTGGACGAGTCCTAACTCGCTAGCAGTTTGTACCTGGTCATTTGCTGGAGCTATTGCGAGTCCCTGAAAGGCGAGTCAAGCCCCCTGTGGTCGAAGCGGATGCAACGCTCCTCTGTTCCCACTGGTGACTTGCGGTCGTTTGACCCGCTGGATGGTCAACTGACTAGCCTGGGATTCACTCAAAGGGTGCGTACCTATATGGGTTCATACGTTCAGCCTGCGGCTATGGTCCAAGGTGGCACGGGTTAACCATCCCTTTCTTGCGGTTTCCCCCTTTAGAGACAAACCCATGTGCTACGGTCGAATCCTGCCCAAAAAATTGGAACGGGCTTTGAGCTCAGCGCTGTTTGGACACTTTGACGGCAGTGCTGCCCTCGTGCTTTTCGGTTTTGCAACCAAAAGGGCAGCTCTTCCTCAGAACACCTGCCAGAACCTGCCAGGCTCAAGAATCGGGGGTTAATATGCATCTTCTAAAGTAACTTCAGGGATCGGTTAGGGAAACACAAGCTATAAGTGGAGTTCCAGGCATTTAACATTTTGCTCCGACTCCCATTTTTAGCGTGCTTTAGCGGGCTTGACCAAACTTACCAACAGTTTACTCCGGTTAAACTTGAACAGCACCCCACACTTCTCTCCCAATAGGTTCCCCCAGGTGAAGCGGCTTCTTTCGTCGCCATCCATGCAAAGGGTTCCTTGCTAATTGCACTCACTCCCTCTATGAACCCAAGGAACCAAGTCTTAAGGGGTCCTGGGGCTTTCATGAAATCGCCTGGAAGGTAGGCCCCAATCAACTATTGCTCTACACCTGCACTTGAGCACCCCAGCCCTATTCTGGCTACTTAGGCCCATAATTGAATGAAACATCTGTTGACCTCAGAAAACAAACTTGACATAGTTGCACAACTAAAACCAATGAATAAAATCATATAGTTATAGTTACCCTCCCACCAACTAACATGGAAGTGCACAAGGCCCCTGTCCAACAGGAAAGTAGTCTTACTACAAAGGGGCCTACGCACTTCCACGTTGCTCGATTGCTTTCTGCTCCCCTGCTAAAAGTTGAACTTTTAGTGGTTTAATGGAAAACCCATTAGTTGGCAACAAGTTCAATTCCTAGCACCCAAGCGAAATGCACCAAAGTTATCGTTCAAACAAAAACGGACCAGCCGAGTTGGGCCCAAGTGTGTCATACTCAAAACCCGGTATTGAAATGGTAATCCCAGAACCATGCTTCAAGAAATGAGAAGGCGGTCGCAACTATTTCTGGCTGGTCCCTTACTAACCTTCATCTACCCGGGTTTTGATTGTGGCTCAACTCAGGGGCCATTTGTGGCTCGGCCGAGGCGCTCCGGAGACTCCGAGAGCAAGCGCTTAGGAGGGAGGGAAGCGATATCTTTGGATACGCCCTCACCCCGGCACAGAACCCGCATCCCGCTCGCCTCCGGGCGAAGGCCCTGGCGCGGAGGGTCCACCACCACCACCTGGGATAGCTTCAGCTCAAACCCTCCAAACGTTGGCAGTCCTCAAACAAACAAACAAACAAACAAACAAACATGTAACAAAACAACCGTACGGAATGATTCCCGCCGCCCTTTTTTTCAGCTTCTGGCTCGCCCAAGCGCGCGCGTCACCTCACCTGAAGAGAGGAAGAGATCATGCCCGCGGCAGACATAGCGCCACTGCCACTGAAGAGCATACTCCTTGATCGTGGGGTTCAAACAGCCTCAGCAACAACATGTAGCGAAAAACATTCGTAATGTGTCTCAAGCTTGATCATGGGATTCAAACAGCCTGACCAGCAACATGTAGTGAAAAACATTCGCAATGTGTTTCAAGCTTGGCTTCACAAATGAGTTTCAAATGTGTGAGGAGCAGCAGGTCTGCTTACTCTTGGATGCCAAGCGGTAGGGAATGTTCTGCTTCAAGGCCGGGCGTCGGCCCCTGCGAACCTTGTACGCGAACAGGCCAGTGGCGCGGGAGCACTGGTAGATCAGGAGTCCGTGCTTCTGGGCCAAGCCAGGATAAAGGCGAGCCCCGTCGGTGATGAGAGTGGACTGGTACCCCGCAGCATCCCGGGGGTCCACTGCGTCGAATGCCTGCACCTGCGCAGCAATGACCAGAGATCAGTGTCTGCAAAAAAAGAAGGGTAACATGTGAACACGAAACATTTTGACCGAAGAAAACAAAAAAACAAATGGAGCCATGGCCTGGGCGACGCGGTCCAAGCCTGGGCGACGCGGTCCAAGCTCTCGACCGGCGGCTTCGAGTGAGGCTTGGTATCCGTTTCGGGCAAGAAGTGCAAGTGGAGGCGCCCAACCGGATGATGCGCCGACGGCCTCTCGAAGATCCCGAAGAGCTGCGCCCAGCGCAAGCTCCATGTGCGGGCGGACTGTCTTGGGTGCGCTCCGGAGACTGCGGCGGCCCCAGCTCGACAAAGTGGAAGTCTTGCGACATCGCACACTGCTTCGCCCGAGCTAGGAAAGCTGCGTAAGTGTGTGTGCGTGTGTGGCAATGAGGTCCGCCAGAAGTCATCAACAAATCCAAGATATTCAGCTAGCTGTCACAATCTGCGATGTTTGTCATGCTTTTGGGCGGCTGTAATCAATCCGTAAGCCAAAACAACAAACAAACAAACAAACAAACAAACAAACAAACAAACAAAGAAACAAAGAAACAAACAAACAAACAAACAAACAAACAAACAAACAAACAAACAAACAAAGAAACAAACAAACAAAACAAACAAACAAACAAACAAACAAACAAACAAACAAACAAACAAACAAACAAACAAACAAACAAACAAACAAACAAACAAACAAACAAACAAACAAACAAACAAACAAACAAACAAACAAACAAACAAACAAACAAACAAACAAACAAACAAACAAACAAACAAACAAACAAACAAACAAACAAACAAACAAACAAACAAACAAACAAACAAACAAACAAACAAACAAACAAACAAACAAACAACAACAACAACAAACAACAAAACAACAACAACAACAACAGAAACAAACAAACAAACAAACAAACAAACAAACAAACAAACAAACAAACAAACAAACAAACAAACAAACAAACAAACAAACAAACAAACAAACAAACAAACAAACAAACAAACAAACAAACAAACAAACAAACAAACAAACAAACAAACAAACAAACAAACAAACAAACAAACAAACAAACAAACAAACAAACAAACAAACAAACAAACAAACAAACAAACAAACAAACAAACAAACAAACAAACAAACAAACAAACAAACAAACAAACAAACAAACAAACAAACAAACAAACAAACAAACAAACAAACAAACAAACAAACAAACAAACAAACAAACAAACAAACAAACAAACAAACAAACAAACAAACAAACAAACAAACACACACACAAACAAACAAACAAACAAACAAACAAACAAACAAACAAACAAACAAACAAACAAACAAACAAACAAACAAACAAACAAACAAACAAACAAACAAACAAACAAACAAACATACGCATACACGCACACGCAGAGATACACAAACCACACAAGCCACAAACACACCCAAACACACAAAACACCAACGCACAATCGTGACACACACACACACTGTGGCTTGGCAATGGCGGTGCCAGTCGTAGCGCAACTCATCTTGCTCGCAAGCTACTTGCGGTTTTGGCTAAACATCGGCCAAATGTGAGTTTGTCTCGCCAGATTTGCAGATTTGGGCTCAAATGAAACTCAAGTGATTGATCTCGTTTGAAAGGCGGTGTGTCCAAACGGGACCCAAATGCGTGGTTGCTCTTTGGTTCTTGGGTTCCCCTTTTAAACAACTTCTCACTTCCTGAGTGGATGGGCCAACAAAAGGCCAATCGTTCTATTTGCCACTAACCTGGTCTTCCCAACAAGTGTAAAGTCCAGGAACTCAGGAAGTGAGACTTCCGGGTGAGCTCATGATCATTTTCTCAGAAAGCGGTGTAATCCAAACACCACTTTGTCCTCCACGCTGTGCAACTGCAGAAACCTTGACTGATAGGCGAAGCAAATGAACACCAATGACAACTGCAACCAGCGATCTAATGTCAGGGGCTAAACAGACTGCGGGCCATTCACCCAACCTCAGTCATGAGTCATGACTCATGACCATAAGAAAACAACTGATGTTCTACTTCTGCCTTTTGTCCGCGCTTCTAGTATATCATACCCATATCATACCCTCTCGTGAACTCCCTTGCCTCAATTTTTGCTCAAGTCCCCTGGAGAAAAAACAAACAGTAGTGATAGATGGCCTTTACAACCAACAGTGGAACATACACAACATATTCTTAACCAGATGGAAGCTTGGCTCTCCAAATCCCCGACTCCGTGACTTGCCCAGCTGCCACATCTTGGTCTGGCCGCAGCTCTGCAGCCACGCGCCTGGCGAGAGGGGGTTCACCCAACTGGCTCCGAGAGCCGCCGGCGGCAACCACAAAATGGAATCCCCCAAAGTGGCGGCCGAATGGCGCCTTGGGACATGGGGTTTCCAACACCTTTGGCCTGGGACATGGGGTTTCCAAGACTAAAACCCGGCGGTTTGCCCCCGTTTGCTCTGGAAGAAACTTCGATTTCGGGCCACACCCATTTGGCTGCTCACTCAAACGTGGTTTGTGATTGAGAGCTCACTCGCAAGAGGAGCCATTGCAGCCAAACTTGTTGCCATTTGTCAATCATGGTCATGACCTTCGATTCAATCTTGGACAGAAGGGACCGGTCCCTTCTAAGTAGTGCTCAACCGAGGGTGTAGTCCTTGGTTGATGGCTGTTGAGTCCAATTGCTTACCACCGTTGGTTGGTTGAAATATGATTGCTTCAATTGCTACAAAAACATACATATAATCATACATTATATATATATATATATTATTGTCAATGCCAAATCCGCAGGAGATGGCAAAGCGAAAGCGCACGCGGTTTTCCTGATGCGTATACCAATCTGGCTTAGGCCTAGACGGCCGCGGATTCCATGCTGATTACTCATGATGCGATTCATGGTGCTGCCACCCAGTCTAAACACAGCCCTCATGCATGCCGACTTTGTCAGCGGATACTTCTTTTTGTGCATGAGAGGCTGGGGGTGACCGCCTGAAAAATGATACAAGCACCGTGGCCGTCTCACCGATTAGCCCCTATGCATTGGCTAACGATGATATGTCCACATTTCGTTCCAATTCCCGCCACTCAGACCTCTGGTTGCAGTCAAACCTTCCGAAGCTGCTTCGAATGCAGTACTCCACGGGGTTGAAGCGCGGCTTGGGCAGCCGATATGACTTCGCATACCTTGCCACGTGAATGCCCACGCCATCTTGGTGATGCCATCCGGGCTGCTCACTCAGAACAAGCAGTCTGCTGAAGATCTCATCACTCAAGTCCACAGGTTTGCCCACACACAAAGATCCAGCGGCAGGTTTCTGTACTTGCTTCGGTTGCTTCTTGACTGTCTGCCGCACGAAGTCCGGGCGGTATGTCACACACCACTCACATGAACGCAGCACTGTATGCAGATTATCCAACTCCATGTCCTTGGTGCCGGCATCCACAAACATGTTTTCTGTGCTTGTCCATCTCAAAGTTGTCTGCGGCCTCCTCAACATGTTGCGAAGCCACGCCACAGTGAAGGCCAGGGACTTCTGCGACCCATACGAAGGCGTGTCACTTGTGTTCTTGTCGTAGACATCCTTCGCGTCCGTGACAACTGTGAGCGGCACCGTCTCCAATGAGACATCAACTGCCCTGCTATCCATGCGAAGCCCGTTGAGCTCTGCCACAAAACCTCTGTGGTAATGCCCAACATCCATGGCCTCCTCAACGCCCAGCAACTCTGCAGCAAACGTAGATCTGCAGACCCTTGGCAACCTGTGACTCCGGGCATCCAAGATCGCAAACCGACCCTTCTTGCCATTCATCAGCTCCTTGCTCGCCAGCAACACGAAGTAGGCCGCCTGGCTGAAGAGCTTCGTGAGGGGTTCACCATCAGAACCACCATCTTGGTTCACATTGCCAAGGCTTGCGTCAGACACAACCATCAGGCCGCATCCGTCAAGGTTGATCGGCTTGAAGCACAATGCAAAATCAACGTGCTCCTTGAAGCGCTTGGCCAACTGGTTCGCCTTCATCAAGGTCGCCACGACGCGCTTCTCGCCTTGCAACGCTGACAGCATAAATCCCATGTCGAACCGGCAGTTCGCCACCAACCATTGCATGCTTCCAACCAGTGCACGCAACTGCTTGATTTCGGCAGGGGTTAGCGCAGCATCAGGTACTCGTCGTCGAGCAAGCGGTATGGCTACCGGCTTCAAGTTCTCGTGGTACTCCCGCATGCTGATATAGATGTTCCCATCAGACTTCTTCTCGATGAACTTCCCGCAGTAGGTGAAGCGGTTATGCTCAAGAGAACCAAACCCTAGCTCCTCTCCAAGTTGATCAAGTAGAGCTTTTGCGCGTTTGCCTCCTCCCATGAGAAGATCATCCACATGGGCAATGACGATTCCAAGCAAGGTCTTGGAGTCCTCCGTCCAAAGGTACCACGTAGCTGCATCCAATGCAGATCTCCGCCAGCCCAGCTTCGTCAACGACTTGTTCAAGCGAAGATACCACCTTCTCGGAGAATCAGAGAGTCCAAAGATTCCCTTCTTCAGTTTCGCTAGTCCTCCTCCGCCAAGTGGAAGCTTCGGCTCATCCTCTGACATCGTCTTGATCTGGCCGATGTACAGCTCCCGCTCGTTGGGCTTGAAAAGCTCACCCTTCAAGAATGCGCTCTTGATGTCCGCACTCCACAAGTCCCACTGCATCGAAGCCGTAATGATGAGGACCAAATGACATGCAGTTCGTGATGCCGTTGGGGCATCCTTCCTCACCGCGTAGGCAGTGGGGTCCCGAAATCCTGGCACCACCAGCCTCGCATTTGCTTTCAAAGGCAAGGGTTGCGAAGGGGTTCGCAAACCATCATGCTTGTCCGTGAAGACGTACCGCGGGGTCAGCACTTTGTGCATCTCGTTGTTGGCGCGCAACCGCTTGAAGGTCTCAGCTGCCTCATCCGGGGACAGAACCTCCACCGCGTCATTGTCTGCCCAAACCATCCAACCAGTCTTTGCTGCTTCTTGAAAAGCTGGTCGATCTTGCGAGGCGATGCTTCGCCACATGTACTCCTTTCTCGCAGTCTGCACGGCACAGACATCATGATCACCGCAAGGCCACATGGCGCCTGCTTGCTTCATGGCTTGGATGTAGGTCCGCGAGGGCATAGGCCAATCACCTCTCCAAGTCCCATGATCACGCACTTCTCCACTTTCAGGATCGAGGCGATCACGAATGCTCAGATCATGAAGTTGCCGTAGGGGATGGTCAGGATGTGGTAAATTCACCAACTCGTCTACTTCACGCACCGGTACTTCTCCAACGTCTATTGAAGGCTCTCCACTTCCGGTAGTACCGCTCGAAGGCTCAGGTAGACGGGAAAGATCACGAAGCAGACCGGTTTCTACATCAGCTGCTCGTTTACGCTGCTGAGGGTCGTCTAACTCCATCTCCCGGGCTCGCTCAAGGATCCCACCCATTCTCTCCCCGAGCTGGCTGGCATTAAGGATCAGCTCAGGAACCGGTGTTCCAGGTGCCGCAGCTCCATGATGCGGCTCAGTTGCCGTACTCGTCCTTCTGGAAGCCACCAAAGGGGTCGACAGTCTCGAAGTCATCGGAGTCGACTGCCTTGAACTTCCACGACGCACAGCATTTGCAAACTCTTGAGGACGAACAGGAGGCAGATCACCTGCAGGTCCATCAGAGGGTCCAGGAAGGCCACCGGGATGCCGTAGATCTCCAGCTCCGGTCGCCGAACTCGCGGTCGGTACTTCACCAACTCCTTCCTGGGGTTCCCTTTCCATAGGCTTAGTCGTAGCTTCAGGTTGTAGTGCTTGAGGTCGGCCATCTGCGAATTGCTCTCCATGTTGCTCGGCTCCTCGGCGGGTCATATCCTGGATTGCTGCTTCCACCACATCCTCAATGGCGTCTCTCCAGGTCTCAGCCGAGATCTGCTCCAAGGTAGTGGCCGGGCGCAAGTGCTCCACCGCGCACTTTGTAAGTTGCCCTTTGAAGCTGACGAAAGCGCTGGTGTGGCCCTCCTTGGCCACCAAAAGTGCTGGTCCATGCCACCTCCTCAAACTCAGTTTCTTCTTTGAAGGTGATGTCTTGTTGTTGTACTTGGTCTGGCGGTAGAAGTAGACGATCATGCCGGGCTCGAGAGCTTGCGCATGCGTGGTTGTAGTAGATCGGGATCGGGCCAGTTCTGCTCGCCGAAGGCCTCTACTGAAGTGAAGCCGCGTCATAGCCACCTTCGCGGTCTCCCTCAATGCCATCTGTCTCATCAAGCTAGGCCTGAGGCCATCATCGATCAATCCGTGCTCCGCCAGACGTTGACCAAAATCTCCAAGTGTGTCTCCAATCATCCGTGGCTGCCTCCCAAGTGCTGCCTGGCAGGGGCTGACGCCCATCTCATTAATGTCGTTGTTGTAGGCAGTAACTGCCTCTTGAAGAGCCACGTTCAGGTCCTCCGCATTAACGATCGAATGCGCCTTTACCAGCGCATGAAGAAGACCCTTCAGTACTCCTCCAGCTCGTTCACAAACTCCATTCTGCCAGGGGGCCTGCACTGCTGCGTGCCACAAAAGGGTTGAAGACCGGGCGCACATCTCCTCAAACGTGTAGCTCACGAATTCACGCCCTTGATCAGCGACTATCACTCGGGGCGGTCCAAAGATCGGCTGCCACCGCGAAGTGAACCATTTGACCACCGCCTCCGAACTCTTGTGAGCTATCACCTCCGCCATCTGGAACCTAGACGCAAAGTCCACCGCATGGATCACGTAGTGATGGCGGCCCAATGCATCCTCAGCTTCAAAGATGTCGAGGTGAACTTGGTCGCTGATGTCCTTGGGAACTGGCAAGGAAGCGGGGCGTTGCACTTTGGGTCGTTTCTGCTCATCACAGATCGCGCACTTCAGATGCTTCGCCGCCAAGACAGCTTCCGCAGGAGCACCACTGATGATCAGTGCTCTTGCCAGTCTCCGATTGCTGCGGTGACCTGTGTTCTCATGTAGTCGCCGCACTGCCTGCACAATTCCCGCAGGCACTTTCGGGTTCTCCACCTTGATCTCTTCCTCCTCTGAGTCGCTGCCGTAGTTGGTCAATGCTGGAACTTCTGGTTGTTCTTCCTCCTCAACTTCACCGTCCACGGCCAAAGCCTCATGTGGGTAGGCCTTGAAATCCACCTCAAACTGCTCCTCCATGCCCTTCACCATGGCGCGTGCCAAGGGGGCCGGATAGTGCCCAGCTGGCACTGTCACCTTAGCTCCTCCAAGAACGGGTGCATGTTGATGATCCCGAAGACACCGACGAGCGTGTAGTTGTTCCCGTACTTGAGGACTGCTTGTTGCCACCCGCGTCGCCTTGCGATGGGGCTCGCCCTTGTCATTCTTCAGCCCGAAGCGGCACTGGTGAAAGTCCGCAAGCTCTGCCTCCTTCTCCTCCAGGAACTTGACCATCTCAGGCAAAGTCCAAGCCTTGCTCGTGAGGGGGTTCTCCAAGAGATAGTGTCTGCCCGCAAGGAGTTGGTCCTTGGCCAGTTGGATAGCGAATCTGATGAGGACCAAACCTTCAGCTTGCTTCTGTGCCAAGTCCGCCGCCGGGTTCAACCTCATCAAAGGACTCCATGGTCCACAAGGAAAGGCAATGGCCAAGAAGTAGGGCTTCTCCTGGTCGATCAGCTTCCGAGCTGCCCGGCGATCCAGAGCCCGTAGAAAGTTCCATCCAGTCTCCAAGGAAAGTGCTGATCCAACCCGATGTCCACGCCGAGCTGCTTCTCGAAGGATGGGCTTGGTCGTGGTGTACACTTCCGTGACAAAGGTCTTGGGAAAGTCCACTGCCGAAACGAAGGTCTCGTTCATGAAGTCCTGGAATCGTCCATTCCATTCTTGATGCATGACCTCCATGATCTCCCTGTGACCTTGTGAGATCAGCTTTCTGTCCTTCTCGTGTTTGGCCCACGCTGCCGCAATCAACTGCGCTTGGCCATGCTTGACCTGCTGATGCAAGGTCCAAGGGTTGGGGGCTTGTAGAACATGAGGATCTGGTGATGGTGGTATGTGAGGCTCATGTCTGTCTCTTGCTGACACTTCTTGCTGATCACGTGCTCGTGATGCGTGAGGCTTGCCTGATTGTAGTCCAGGAGGATTGGAGCTCACTTTCCCGTAAGATCCACAAGATCCAATGGCGGTTCCACCTCCATCACCTGACTCCCATTGTCGTCTCCCGCCGCCATATCGTGCCAAAGAGGTCGAGGATCTACTTGCTGGCTTGTCATAGACATCAGATGAGCCATGACTTGACTGATCATGCCAGAGAACTTTTGATCTTGCTGCAACATCATCTTTTCCAGGTCGTCGCGGTTCACTCCCATTGACGAAGTCACCACGGAGTACGCCGATGATGCGGGAGAATCGGCCTCGCACTCTTTGCCTGGCTTGATGGGCGGCGCAAGGTTGGTTTCCTTTGCCACCGCCGTTGTGGGTGTGCTGCATGTAGCCTTGTTGCTGGTCTTGGTCATCAGAGCGCCCACCATTGGTCTGCACGCCTGCTTGATCTGCTCGACCGTCGCCTTCTCCGGGATGGGCACCCTGAGCAAGGCGGCCAGACGAAGAAGGTCTGCTCGAAGTGAAGGAAGACCACCGCGAGGACCAAGTAGAGCTCTTGCAGCCTCTTCCTGTTTGCCCTCGGCGATTTCCAGGTCCGCCTGCTTCTGCGCCTCTGCCATGGCTTCTCGCTTCATCTTTGACGCAAGTCCCTTGCTGGCTCTTGCTGCCAGCATTCCTTCCAAGAGCGGGTTCTCCATGAAGCTGTGCTTGATGCCCAGCCGGTTTCGAAGCCAGGTCGCGTCGGCCAAGTTCTTCATCGTGAAGCTCCCATGGCGTAGAGCTCGATCTACGTGCCGTTGTGGTAGGCATCGAAGCGAAACCATCTGCTCGGCTTGCATCTTCCATTGAGAAACCGTTCCCACGCTCGGGTAGGGAAAGGGAACGTACCGCAGCGCCGGTCGCTGCAGCAACCATAAGAGCATACCATGAACGTGCCATAGTGCGCGGCTTCGGAGGCGGCTTACAAAGCGGCTCCATTTGACGATGGTGCCCTTCGCGAATTGGTTCACCTCCAGCATGTAGAGCTCGTGACCTTGCCGTTGATGCGGTCGACGAACCAACCAGAGATGGCTGCGCCGAAGCAGAAGCTGTCGGCTTTGACATCCCTTGAGAAGCAACAGCAACGTCGGCTTTGCTGTCACACGACAACCCAGAATTTGAAACATCCGCAGCTTGCACACCAAGCTCAGTCACAAAATGTTCGTGAGAGGCGGGGGTTCCAGTTCGTCTTGATGAACACCCTTGAAGCTTGCGTTGAATCCAGTCCTTACCCGAACACTGAAGCTCAACCACTCCATCCTGCCCAACACGTCGCCACCGCTCCGGGCCTGGTGCCGGCCAGTGGGCCGGGGGCAATCGCAGTGCGAAGTGGCCTGCAGAGAGCTGACGTAGCTGAATCGACTGCCCGTCCAAATACTCTGCACGCATCAGCTTCCGACTGAAATTCAAAACTGTTCCAATACCATCCAAGAAGTCTCGTCCCAAAAGCAAACCTAAGCTGGGAACCTGCACCACTGATATCCAGACACAGACCAAACTGTTGCCCACCATAATAGGAACACGAATGCGCGAACTGCTGCGTTGCGTTCCACCATTCCCAAACCGAAAAAGTTCATCCTCCGGCTCGGACTTGATGAGCTGTCTGATCTCAGGGGGTGCCCGTTCAAGGTGTTTCAAATAATGTCCCAGCCACACGTTTCCACTGCAAGTACGGTTACACGCGCTGTCAAGTGCGCCCACCAGCATTTTGTCTATTGCCAATGAGCACATCGTCAGAGCTTCCTTGGGTCCGTCCAAGACGTCTTCCAGTGGGGCAGTGTGCCCAATGCTTGAAGCCACCATGACCTCGTGACCGTCAGGCACATCAGCCGACTCAATCTCAGTGTTGTACGTCTCAGTCACACGTACCTGCTTTGCTGGAGCACGCTTGCCACCACCCTTCGGTCGGGCTAACTGTTGCCCCGGCTTCTTACACTGAGCGTCGCCCTGCCAATGCCCCTGTTCTCCGCAGTCCCAACAGTTGCTAGCCGCCTTCTTGTCACCACCTTTGGCCTTTCCAGGCCCTTTGCCACCAGTGGGGGAAACCTTGCCGAAATCCACGGTCCTTTCGGACTTCTGCTATGCGTTGACGCGCCTCCCGCATGGTGAGCAAGCTCTCAGCTGCCTGCTCAACTCCGGATTCCAGTTCCTCCATCAAACCATGATCTACACCTTCCTCCTCCAGCTCCTGAAGCTCTGCTGCAAGCACTTCAACCTCAGATCGCAGCACGTCTTCAAGAGAGCTTGGATCAGCTTGACCTTCATCAGGGATCAGCTCATCCTCATCTTGCTGCGTCTCTTCCTCAGCAGGAGCTTCTGTCACCAAAGCCTGTCTGTTCGGCTGCATCGGCTTGCGAAACGGGGGCCTGGAAGAATAAGACGAAGGGGGTCTAAACCTGGATGCAGAGCTTGGTACAGAACTGCTGCTGGAAGGCACTGAGGTCCGCTGCGAGGACGAAGACTGAGACTGCGCCAAAAACCTGCTAAACAGCGGCGGTCGATCCTGTCCAGGGCGATGCTTGAACAAAGGATCTGCCGCATGCAAATCTCTGAAAAGTCTTAGCGACTCAGTCTCCACGTCATCGTAGCTTTCCCGACCCGCCAATGCGGTATCCAACAGCTGCTTCCGAAGCGCATCCAAACCCATGCGTTCCTTGAGGAACCAGCCCAATTCCTCCTTCGGCAGATCAACTCCTTCACGTTTCAAATCTGCTGCCAGGGTCCGGAACCTAGTGCAGAAGGTGCTTATCCTCTCTCCGGGGCTTCTGCGAATGTCCTGATAGAACTGCGCCCTCAGCTCACCCTTGCGATCAAGCTCAGTTTTGCCAATTGTCTCCTCCAAGGCAGTCAGCAACTTGTTGATTCCCGAAAAAGGGTCTGCAGGGGTTGTCACAGTCCGTACACCTTCATCGCTCACGGTGGCGACTTCCTCAGTGCCTTTGAGCTCGTCAGGATCAAACTCCTCGCATCTGGCCCTGACCATTCCGGATTGCCTCAAAGCCCAGCGCGCGGCCACGTTGAACTTCTTGCAAGATTCCGGATCCAGAGAGGCCATCCACCATTTCATTTCGCGGCGGAAAATCCGCCAATCAGCTAGGTTTCCATTCCAGGTTGGCACCTTGTACCAGGAGCTCGCGCTTTTGTCCTCCTCGGTCATCGTGTTGACGTCCGCGTGAGCGGTGCGGCGCAAGCTGTAAAAATCAAATTCCGGTGCGATGCAAATGCCTAAGGCAGTAAAATCTATATGCGGGTAAAAGAGACCTCGGGCCCACTCGACCGCCAACCGCAGGTTGACCCAATCAAGAGATCCAAGGATATAAAATTGTATCCCCAAGCTAATGCCAAGGTTGCACCAAACCGCAGGTGAGGTCAAGAAAGGCAATCAAGAGGATGTCCCTCGTTTCCCAGATGCACCAGCGCAGCCAGTACCAAAAAGGTCTCGAGGATGAAACAGAGTGCTTTGCGATAAAACGGAGCGGAGTTCACGTAGCGTAGCGAATCCTGCAAGGGCCAGGCTCCGGTGCCACTGTCAATGCCAAATCCGCAGGAGATGGCAAAGCGAAAGCGCACGCGGTTTTCCTGATGCGTATACCAATCTGGCTTAGGCCTAGACGGCCGCGGATTCCATGCTGATTACTCATGATGCGATTCATGGTGCTGCCACCCAGTCTAAACACAGCCCTCATGCATGCCGACTTTGTCAATTATACATACATAAGTTACATAAGACAGACTGTATATAGACTTATATGACAGTTCACCCTGATTCACAACTTCTTCCCCTCGCAAGAAGCACAGATTGCCTCACCAAACAGCCGACCCTTCGCTGAAGCCTCTCGCCCGGATGTGCGGCGGGGTGGTTCCAATTTAAGGACATGGCCTCCCTTGGTCGTTCCTCTGAGTAAGGTCCGGAGGCGGATGACTCCAAAGTTGATGGAAGAGATTTCCGAAAACCACCTTGCAAGGGCTGTGGCTTGTTCAGTTGATCAGAGAACAGGAGTGCTTCTCCAAAATGATGCAGTAAGATTTGTAGGCTGCCCGAACTAGGTCAACTGGCTGCCCCTCAAAATCTCAAACCCTCCACCGTGGGGTAGGCACCTAACATCTTCCGGGGAGGCCGCCCCCCAAAATGGGATGGCATTCGTCGGATCTCCAACAGATCTCACCATGAAGCTCAAGGTGGATTGAACCTTGCAGCGAATTGCAGCCTGCGCCCTGCAGTAATTTGATTCCTTCACCAAACTGAATTGAGACATCCCCAAGGATGAGGCCCCCTAGAGGCATTGACTTTGTGCCATGGCCCACACCTCGCGAGCCTGAACATATAAAACATATCAAACAAGCAAGTCTGGGGTAGACTTAGGATACATCTTGCATTTTCCCAGTGACTCAAAGGGGGCCTAAGTCTATCACTGGGCCTAGGTCTAGTCATGCCTTTGGCGGGCTTCCTCGCTGAGCGAACCCCGAGGCTCCAAGGTTCGCAGCTCCTTTTTGCAAACCAGAGGAGAGCACAGGGCCGAGCTTACTTGACTTGACTCCTGGCAGAGGGTTCCAAAATGTGTAACCAGCTTGTTTTTTGGTTCCAAAATGTGCAACCAGCTTGTTTTTTGGTTCCAAAATGTGCAACCAGCTTGTTTTTTTGTTCCAAAATGTGCAACCAGCTTGTTTTTTGGTTCCAAAATGTGCAACCAGCTTGTTTTTTGGTTCCAACATGTGCAACCAGCTTGTTTTTTGGTTCCAAAATGTGCAACCAGCTTGTTTTTTGGTTCCAAAATGTGCAACCAGCTTGTTTTTTGGTTCCAAAATGTGCAACCAGCTTGTTTTTTGTTCCAAAATGTGCAACCAGCTTGTTTTTTGGTTCCAAAATGTGCAACCAGCTTGTTTTTTGGTTCCAACATGTGCAACCAGCTTGTTTTTTGGTTCCAAAATGTGCAACCAGCTTGTTTTTTGGTTCCAAAATGTGCAACCAGCTTGTTTTTTGGTTCCAACATGTGCAACCAACTTGTTTTTTGGTTCCAAAATGTGCAACAGCTTGTTTTTTGGTTCCAAAATGTGCAACCAGCTTGTTTTTTGTGTTCCAAAATGTGCAACCAGCTTGGTTTTTTGGTTGTTTTTTGGTTCCAACATATGTGCAACCAGCTTGTTTTTTGGTTCCAAAATGTGCAACCAGCTTGTTTTTTGGTTCCAAAATGTGCAACCAGCTTGTTTTTTGGTTCCAAAATGTGCAACCAGCTTGTTTTTTGGTTCCAAAATGTGCAACCAGCTTGTTTTTTGGTTCCAAAATGTGCAACCAGCTTGTTTTTTGGTTCCAAAATGTGCAACCAGCTTGTTTTTTGGTTCCAAAATGTGCAACCAGCTTGTTTTTTGGTTCCAACATGTGCAACCAGCTTGTTTTTTGGTTCCAAAATGTGCAACCAGCTTGTTTTTTGGTTCCAAAATGCTTGCCAACGCCAGCTTGTTTTTTGGTTCCAAAATGTGCAACCAGCTTGTTTTTTGGTTCCAAAATGTGCATTGTGCCAACATGTGCAGCTTGTTTTTTGTTCCAAAATGTGCAACCAGCTTGTTTTTTGGTTCCAAAATGTGCAACCAGCTTGTTTTTTGGTTCCAAAATGTGCAACCAGCTTGTTTTTTGGTTCCAACATGTGCAACCAGCTTGTTTTTTGGTTCCAAAATGTGCAACCAGCTTGTTTTTTGGTTCCAAAATGTGCAACCAGCTTGTTTTTTTTGGTTCCAAAACATGTGCAACTGTTTTTTTGGTTCCAGCTTGTTGTTTTTTGGTTCCAACCAGCTTGTTTTTTGGTTCCAAA